GTGGAGTAACAGTTCCACGCGCTGCGGTTGCTGCCTAGGATGGCCATTTGTTGCACGTTCCGCGGTGCGACGTTTTCTTTTCGTTTATTTTGTATTTTGATTTCCCAGAAAGGGAAAAGGATGAGATGAGGTCACAGTGGCCCGCTCACTCTTAATGACGTCTAATTTGTCATCGTTGAGGAACTAATTTTTTAGCCCGCCTGATATAAGCCCAATAGAGCGCTACCTGTCTTGAACACACGAACCTCAGAGTGCCCGGAGCCTCCAACTTGGAGATTTCTGCGTAAGTTACGAAATCGGTGTATCCACCACTGTGGGACCTAAAGTCCCCAAAGATTGGGCCTGGGTTGGGGGTTGCGGAGACGCATGTGAGAAGCAGAATTTACATACCCATAGTTCGTGGAATAATAAGTATTTCCATTTAGTCGTTTATAAGGAAACCCAAAACCAAAACCAAAAACCAGCGATAAGATAAAGCTGTTTTCGCTTTAACAAAAATTTTCTCTGTAAATTAAAGAAGGCCCTTTTGGGTTAAATTTAAATTCAGTGTGAAATCTATCTGATGTTGGTAATTTGACAATTTATTTTATGGTGTAGTTCGCGGAGCCTAATTTACATATTTTCTGACAAATGAAAATGTTTAAAAAAAAAGAGTAAAGTGCGTATTTAAAAGATAGGTTTGCCAAGTAGCATTTAATGTATAATTTTTAATAAATTATTAGGGTAATAATTTTGAAATCTAAAACAGACTCCATATATCCTTGTTTTGCTCCTCACAGACGCTCCATTTTAAAGCCGTAGTATCCGCATGTTCCCGATAGGAAAAACAAGATAGATCCCCGCCACAAATCGGCCTAAACGGCCCCGTAATGGCCGGAGAGAGAGAGAGTGGCTGGAGGAGGTGCATGTTCCACCGATTAACATATCCGGCGCTTATACCTGTGTGTACATAGTACACGGACATAACCACAAACATATAGCCGCCTTTTTTTCCGGACCTGGCTAGCGCCATCTGATTGTCTGGCTGGCATGTTCGCTGGCCATATTAATAATTTTCAGGCGTTTTTTGATTTAGGGTGCATTTAAAGCGTGAACGACTGCATCAATAATTTCGCTTGCAATTTTATTGTGCATAAATTTCATTAATTTATAATTTTTGCCGGCTGTGGCTGTGGCTAACATCCGACCCGCTGATCAAGCAGCTCGCTGTTTTTCCTTTTTTTTTGTTGCTGTTTGTTGATTTTTTTTCTGGTTTGGTTTGCTCCCCTTGCTGCCTCCAACGCGGAGCATGTTGCGCCAATGTGTTGCCGCGGTCCGTCGACTGGGGCATAAATTATTTTCCGTAGTTTTGGCAGGCGCCCGATGACCGCGCGCTGCGTAGATTTCGCGATTGCGCATGAGGTGAGGGTTATTCATTTGCCTGCGTAGTCGACTTGGACTTCGACTGGGTCTCCTACTCCTCTCCAGCTTCCAGCCTCCGTCGCCATTTTCAGGGCCCTGTGCTCTTCTTCGGGCCAGAATCTCTCTGCCAAGCGACCGCCTGTGCCGAAAGATGGGCACTTGGAGAATATTCTAGTAGGTCATGAAAGGATATCAATTTTTTGAAAGATCTCCCAGGACTAAATAGTCTTTGCACAATTCATAATGTGATTTTATGGCTTGAGTTTAAATCCCTTATTAGTATTGCCCCCAAACTTTCTCCAAGTGTACAAACACCACAGATTTGGCTGTAGGAGTATATATGTATATATGTTCATCCCTGATTGCCGGGGAGCTGCAGGCTTCATTGAGAAACTCGCGCTCAAGCTCAGCAGCAGTTTGTGGAGTACCAAGTCCAGTACCAGTACCAGCAAACACCAAACAGCCAGCAAGCAATATGCTGGTTGGATTTAGAGGAGTATCTGGAGGAGCCAGAGGTCCTGCAACTGGGCCCGGCATGTCGCCTGCAAATGTCTTCGGTTTCTGGCCGCGCAGTTAATTATAAACGCTTGGACATTTTCGCTTGACTTGGCTTCGCATCGCATCGCATCCCATCGCCTCGGATCGAGCTGGCTTCGGTTTGTTTTCATTTCCAGATGCAGATTACATTATGATTTATGCAAAATAGTAAATGCGTCTGATGGCAACATGCGCCAGCTGCCAGACACGAACGGCCTGGGACGGCCTGGACGGCTCGATGGCTCTCATCCTCATTGGCCATGTTTCGCGATCGGATCGTTAGAAGGGGACAACTTCAGTTGAATCAATGGGCCCTGCTACCCAGTATCACTAACCATACAGCATAGTGCCATAGTTAGTGCCAGTATCCAGTACATCCAGTCCTACATAGTCCACAGCCAACTCAGTTACTCTCCAACGCCCACCACCACCACCCGGCCAATAGGCAAAAAGGGATCCCAGTTCGGTATTGAAATTGGGATTTAAAACATTTACAATTCCCGAATGGAAGCATTTAGCATTTCCCCCCACACACCGATTTTATGATTGGGTTGCCCATTTGGAGGCCAATCGTAAAGCAGCGTCCTCGCACTGGCACCGATGCCAATAAATCAGGAGCGCTATGAAGCGGCCTCGTAAAAGTGCTTAAATTAATCATCTCGAATGTGTGTCTCGGGTTTACGATGCCCCGAATCCATGGGGCGCCCCCCTTGAAACTCGCAACAGGTTGCCCCCGCTAAGCGCCATCCATTCATCCGATCCCATACCATTCCATCTCATCCCATCTATCCATACCGATCATAGGTACCCATAAACTCTTAACTGCCAAGGATTTGGGGGCTAAGGATTGCGGGCATTTTGCATAACGAGACGTTCATGTCCGGTTAGTATCTGCATCTTTTCATCTCCATCTCTCGGATGGAGTATCTGTATCTCTGAATCTGCATTTGTTTGAGCATCTAAAGGTCTGTCGTCGCGTCGTCGCCGTCGCCACTGCCGCCGGAGAAATGGCAAAGAATGCCCTGTGGCCTGAGAAAATGGCCAGAGACCTGCGGCATCGGGCATGGGGCATGCGGCATGGGGGCTTTATTAAATACTCACTTTGATTTACTGGGCTGGGCGATGGAAAATTGCACATGAAATTGCATTGTTATTACATGTTTGGGTCAGCGCAAATTAAATTCCATATTGCATATAGAAAAGCAATCTGCCCGGCGTCGTCGTAGAGTGTATTTATTTTTCCAGAGATCGTGTACGTGCCAGGAGGACCACAAAGGCCAGGAAGGACAAGATGTTTAACAGCGAAAATGTGGTGCAAGTTTCCTGAAAGGGCCACTCCACTCCATCTGAGTGAATGGGGTTCCCCCTGCAATGCACTGCACTCATCAGAATCGCTATTAAATTAGTTTAGTGGCATTTAACTTAATCGCCTACAAGGGAGTTAAAATTTTCCAAGGACTGGTGTCTGCATTTCGTCGTTTTATTCTTCAGTCTTCAAGCTTTTGGGTTTTGGCGGTTTTCAGATTTCAGTTACCAACCACCACCAGCTTTTCGAGTCTGGCCCAAAAATTGGTCAGACGTGATTCGATTTTAAAGAAGCTGCCTGGCCTGATGGCAACAAGTGCTTTTGCCTTAATATCTTTGAATAGGCCATGGCCCTTTTGGAAGGCAGCATTAAGGCCTAACTGCTCGCATCATTGCCAGTCGATCGGCGCGGCCAAATTGAGTTGTGCATCAAAAAATCGACGAGTCCCCGAGGAAATGCAACTGCATCATGATGTGATGATATTGCTTCTGGTCCTGCTCCCATTCCCATTTCCTATGTATATTCCTGATGCGTATGTGCTTGCTTAGTCCATATTCTTTGCATAAATCTCAACAATGTCCCTGAATGGTGGGGGGCTTGTAATTAAATTGCGACACGGGGCAGCTAATGGCGCCACAACATAGATTCACAGGCCAACAGGCAGTCGACATATGCATACCGACATGCACTGGGAAAAAATGGTTTGAAAAGGGGATTGGTTTTCTACAGAAGAGGGAGCTGAGAATCTCACTCCGAAGCTACCATTTAATGTTAAAAATTAAAACCCTCAGGACAATTAATTTCTCCTTGTGCATCTTGTGAAGATTGGCGAGCGGAGATGCTCATGACAAAGCGCCGGGGACACGACCTCAGCGTACAGGGCACGTTTCTCAATGAAATTCCAGACCGCTCTCGTCGAGCGTTTCTGTGTGTTCCGACTCCAGCGTTGTCTCCTCGGTCATCAAATATCGGAAAGTTGGAGCCGGAAAACCGGGGGGAGGGGGGGATTGGACTTGCAGTTGGAGATTGTAGAGACAAAAACCACTACGCTACTTGGGCGGCGGCGACACGAAATGAGCAAAACTGCAGAAGCCACTGTCCCGCCACCACAGCGGTTAATTAATTCTGCATGAAATTTAAGGCTTTTTTCCTTCAGTTTTTGTTTGTTTTTGCCCGCCGCCCTGGTATTGTATATATAGTGCATATATGGCAAGTCATTGTCGCCGATCAGACGATCGACGGTTGGATTGCCAGGATGTTGGCAGCGTTGCTGCACGTACTGCCTCTGTCTCTGCCTCTGCCTCTGGATGTGGATGTGGATGTGGCTGTGGAGTAGCCAGTGGCTTTGGCCTGTCCCCCAGTGCTTGCTAATCAGCCGCACCTCATCAGTCTGCGGCAAATCAAGTCATTAAGTTAACCGAGTGCCAAATGGAGCAAATAATGCTGCGGATACGCTCGTAGTTCGGGGGTTCTCTGGCGTCTTTGGGGGTTCGGAAGCGCCAGCAGTAAAAAATCTCTCAATTAGTCAAACAATTAAATCAGCTATCGATCCGATTCTGAATCGATTCCATACCGGGGCCACTGAGTATTTAATTATTTATGTATTTTATTTCACAGGCCCTATACCGCCCAGCTAAAAAAAAAACATCAAAGTTGTCTTGGCTCACATCTTAATTGTCGCAGTGACATTTCTAGTTCATAAGAAGAACGCTGTAATTAACAAATCATTAATGGATTTCTTCTTTTTTACTTTCAGGATCCAGCCACGGTAAGTTGGTAGAATGAACAAGAACACCCAATAAGGTTTATGGTAAATATAAATGTAATCCCACGTACCATCTTGATACAAACCATTTTCACGTTATAAAACAAAACCATTCACATGCCCGGTGTCGCAGTTATGAGTTTCCACCTGTTCGCGAATTTATTGATTGCCACATTGACAAATGAGCCACCCTGCTGTTATAAAACCAATTAAAGGAAGGGTCCCGACTCACATTGGGAGTATTACGAATAAATTAGGTCCGGTGAGAATTAATTGGACATTCGAGCCACTGGACACACTCGGTGTGATATATAAATCATGGCAGCAATGCGCCAATAACAGGATTATCCAACCTCGAATTAATTTGGCTTAAGGTTCTAAAGTGCTTTTGCAGTCGAAATGAATCAGTAGGGTACGGTTTTGAGAGAAAAATGTATATAGTTTTTAGGGGATAAGGTATATAAAGGTTTATTCAAAGGGCTCTAAAAAATTGGTTACTAATAGAAGGGTTTATTTTATTTTTTAAAGAATAATAGTAGAAGGTCTGATATACCTTGGAGATGATAAGGCATCTTAAGATTACCTTTATTTAACATTATGTTTAAAGAGGAACTATTAGGAACCTTTATATAGTTTTTAATATATATATTATATTGTTCATAATAGAAAATGCAGAAGATGTACCGCCTATCATGTATTTCAGAATTTTAAATAGTCCATATAGGGTACAGAGTCTGTACTACAGACCTCCTTCATTTTTTTTGCCCCTTATTTTTTGCCAAGTGTACTAATTAGAGACACTCTCGGAGACGGCCGGCAGTCGTCAGGCCGGTGAGGAAAGAGCACCTGCCAAAGCGGTCGACGCATCATTAATAATTCCGAGGGAGCGGCTAAGTCAGCCGCACGCATAATAACCACGATTAAAGCAAACAAGGCTCATTGTCGGTTAAATGACAAGTTTTGACAACTTGTGAAACGACAAGTGGTCAGCGATCGGCCCACGGACCACTGACCAGTAACCACTTGGCCACTGTCCAGAGACGGATCCGGTGGGGAAGGACGAGGGCGAGGAAACCGACAACGACCCAGTTAAATTAATAATCCGCATAATTGGAGAACTTAACTTGCGAGCGAAAGAGAAAGGACATGGTGACGACAAAAAGAGCGTTATTTGCTTTGCGCTTAATATATCATTTAGATTGTTTGCCTTTGATAAAAAAAAAACCCAAAAAAAAAGAAACATTAAACAGAAAACACTGTGAAGACTTTGCCTGTCGTTATTATTATTGTTGTTTATGTTTTTTATTTTATCGTGGCGGGTGATTATTGTTGTCTTGCTTGTAAAGTCTGTTTGGCTATTCTATTCGGAATTGCGTGGCAATTAGGCCGACTTGTCCATATTGGCCGAAATGGTATTGATTTGGAGGCCTCCCTCCCCATATGAGACCGGACCAGGTCAGGGGAAAGGCTACTGCCATACATAAATAGAAAATAATTGTTTCTGTTTCACAATTATGTCCCAATAGATTGTTCACTTGTTTTGTGATCACCCTGGGAACTCATACACCTTTCAAATACGAGTATGATATGACCAGTTGATAGTGTAATTAAAGCCTTAAATAGGAGTAGGGTCAAATAAAGGTCCCCCTTTCCAGAGTGTAGGCCTTTGAGTATTGAAATATTAACAGATTGAACCATAAACCTAGAAAATTCAATATTTATCCATACTACTTGACAGAGTCTATCCAAATTCTAATATTAATTACTTTCTCTTTGAATGTTTTTCTTTTTTTGGTAATTAACAACCTTGTACTGGTGACATTTGCGGATCGGAAATGGAAACAGGGCGTAAGTATACAAGAACATGGTACTATGTAACTCTAGTCTGAAAAACAAACACAAATTAAACTCTCGTTAATGGTGACTTTTCATCATTATTTCAAGATTGTTGAGGTCATGACATGAGGTCAGAACTGGTAAGAGTGCGAGTGCGAGTGCACCTTTAATGATAAATTAATTTGGCGAGTAATCTCCAGAGCAATGTGCTGCTGCTGACCTGCCGATCGCTGACTCTGATCGGAGGGGTAATTGCACTCCCGGAATAGAGGAACTGAGACGCAGACCCAGACGCAGGGGAGTCTTAATTATAACCAGAGTAGCCATGTTAAACATGACAGTTTTCGTGTCCTGGCGATTCATCAAAATGACAGCTTCTGGGTTACAGCAGCGGGCTTGTTTGCCAGGGTCTGTCAAGCAATTCGCCGCTTATCAGCGCAATATCGAATTTCGATCAAAACGCCTTCGAGCGTCGGGCATGTCGGGGCTGTCGGGGATGTCGGGCCGAAATGAAAGCGGTACTACCGGGGACTGACAGGCAGTCGCAGGCGCTCGACTTTTGGCGCTAAACGAACATCCCCATTACATCCTGGCCAACTCAACTTGATCGGTTTGGCCCGCATTCCGCGCTATCCTGACCCTCATTATCATACATAGTTGCCACCATTAGGGGCACGGGGGCTTTCGCACTGGAGAGCAAGGACACTCGATCGCCGGTATGACTAGTCGTCGTTTCGTTGCAGGACAACCATCAGAGATATCCATCTGCCAGAAAAATGAAATGAAGGGTTGTAATTGCCGTTGAAGCTTCCAGGCCTGGCTCAATGTGTTATTAACTTGTTAAGCGAAAATGGCACTTGTAATATGCACTTACCACTGGCCTTAGCCAAATCCTGCCAATTAATGCCATTCACTGTCTTTTTTTTTTGAGCGAGAGGAGGGTTAAGTTTGTGTGCGCTTTTCTGAATTTTCAAGAATTTATCCTTATTAATGTTCATTTTTTTTGTGTTTTTCTTTCATGTTCTACAATTGATATATGCCGGAATTATAGTATGTGAGTATTAACATTAGAATAAGTTACTATGTTACTGGCTTGGTCTTTTGAGAGCCTTCCCTTGAAAATATCTTCGCATGGCATACACGAACATTAAGACCTTGTTTAATATAATACTTCGATACCATAAATGCCAAAGGAGAAACACCTTGAGCATCCTTTTACGATCTTGCAACCATAACGGATCAGCAACACGGTTAAATGTCGCACGATCTAGGTATTGGAATCTGTGCTCCTGGAATTTCTGGCCATTGGATTTTGGTGCGACGACGCAAGGATTCCACGACGACGACGACGGATCAGATGGGTTGGATGGGGATAGGTACGGAGATCGAAGATCGGAAAAGCAGGATGATGATGCCAGGCAGATCCGGAGGAGAAGCAAATCGCTCTGTTTGCTTGCGGTGTGCCAATACAATGCCACAGCTGAACGAGACACAAGAATTTATGGCATTTCACTTTCAAAGACACAAAATTCCTGTCCCTTGCCACCATTAATGGAATGGACAATAAATTTAAACGTGCAGACGGACAACGTGCCATATGTAAAAAGGCTCAGACACTGTAGCGGCCAACTTCCCCAAATGGCTAAAATCGCTCGCCTCGTTGGCAAGGAGTAGGGCTTTGGGAGTTGGAGTCGGAGTCGGATGGAGTTGGTCCATTCCGCATCGAAACTGCGCGTGAGACGATTTGTAAGCCCAAAACCGGTCGCAGCACTTCAGTTTTAAGCATCTGCCTGACTGCCTGCTAACAAGGCGATAATCCATGAACAATGCCTCCATCGATTCGGGCCTTAGAGACGCGCGGCCCTTAAAACAATTAAAACCCATAAGCCAAAAGGTTAAAGATCATTTTGGCAAAGAAGTTGAGGACCTCGAAGCTTCAGTCTGGCAATTTTAAATTTGTTTAGCTTTTAATTGATTCTATTGAAGGATTGGCATAATAATTTCTATCTCACTGATGCAAAACAATGCACTAATTGAATAGTTAAGACTAACCAAATTATGACCACATTCCACCGCTCGCCTTGCAAACTCAACCAGCCTGAAGCCTGAAGCTAAAACTGAAGCATTCAGCTCCCGGCCGTGATCATTGGTTTGCGCAAAAAAGACAATGGACGAGATTAAATGCCAGACTGGGCAGATTAAGATGCATCGACAGCAATAACTACGTCAGAGGCCGGTGGAGCAGGAGCTGGAGCTGATGCTGGAAGCTGGATCGCGCATCTTAAACGGGAGACACGAAACAAATTTCCCTTGAAAAGAATTACATACCGATCGCCCCCCGTTCGGGGCAGACTATGGGAATTGACTGAAACTCTATTTGTTCGAACCGATCGGGCCAGAAAGTGACCGTCTTCATTGTCAACACATGGGAGATACACATACGTGGGCTGCTGATGGTGCAGTGCGGCGGCAAACAATTCTATAGAAAATCAGACATGCACCGCCGTTGCACTGGTGGCGATCTGGCCGAGATCTGCCGGCAATCTACCGCCGATCCTACCGCCATCCAGTACCATCCGTCCCAGGTATCCCAGTCCGGCTTATCGCGACCGGGCGAATCGTTTTGCCATACTAAATTATTATGTTAACATGAAAATAATTGAGGCAACAGGCATTCAGCGGCGGTGGCTGGCCAATTTATTTATATCGCTGAATCTCGGATACGTGGCTGCCGCGTTGTGTCCCAAAAACAGCAGCAGCAGTAGCTGGAGGAGCAACAGTCCTCGCTTTTTGGCGATCAAACAACCAATTGATGGCGGAACAAATAGTTTGCCCGAACTGGGGCATCTGCATCGCGATTGGGTGACCGACTTGTTAGCCGGGGCTACTGTTGCATGTTGCTCTAACTAATCGCTTAACCCTAGCTATTCATTTAAAAATAAAAAGAGTAATCTTTAAACCTTAAACAGATTAATAGCTAATAAGTTTTTATTTGTTTTATTTTTTTTTTAAGACTGCTCTGCACTGGGCCGCCAAACATGGTAATGAAGATGTGGTTAAGCTAATTGCCGGAACCCATAAGGCCGATGTTAACGCCAGAACCGTAAGCCAAGATTAAAACGTGTCAACTGAATGATTTTAATTCATCTTTTTCATTTTTGCATATGCTCCCTTCGCTGCCAACTGTTGACTCTTCAGAACGGGGTGAGTGAATATGTTAATCTATTGAACAATTTCGAATAATATATGAAGCAAGCAACTTATTGGCTTGTCCCAGTCGCGCGTAAATGTGCGTCACATGTCACGGCATTCGCGTAACTTAACCCTTCTCTGGAGGATTGGGGACGGAGCTGCCTGGCCGGCTGTGACAAATCATGACGAGCATATCCAATTGGGCCTCACCAGCCTGTCACCTCCGCTTCTACAATCCTTTCGCCTGTGCATTCGAGTTTACAAATTTTAAAATTGAACGCCGCTTTGTTCCTGCGAAATTAAATTCCCTCAAATGTTTTAGAATGTCACATCCACATTTGAAACAAAGTGAATTGTCAATCACAATCTGCCGGATTCGATACGGGCTACACGGAAGTGCACCATCGCAGAAAGACGTTTTCGGTTTATTTTTTATATCTCTGCAAATACCCATGACATTTTAACGGTTTCAATTACAAACCCTTTTTAAACCCTCGAAGTAATGTGGGCTCTTCAAATTTGTTCCTAAATGTTTCAAAATGTTTGACGAATGGAAAGGACATAGAAAGGTCAACCTGACCCACAACCACAGAACATAATGTTGCCAAAAATCATCCCATATTTTAACGTAATATCTTAAACGATCATTCGTTCTATTCTACACAAATCTGCATTAAAATCTAGGAACATATAATTTTTTCCATTTTTTTTTTCTTTTAAATTTCCTGGAGGGTCCCGTACAAAAAACCACAAAACAGCTTGGAGCCAAAATGTGGCTCACTGCGAAGTCTATATCTTTGGCAATATTTATCCGATTCTTAAGAGGAGTACCTTAAACGATTTTTAGATCAATTCTCCATAAATCTGCATCAAAATCTAAGAACATAAAATTTTTTCGATTTTTTGTCAAATTTTCTGGAGGGTCCCCTTCAAAAATCCACAAAACAGCTTGGAGCCAAAATGTGGCTCACTGCGAAGTCTATATCTTTGGCAATATTTATCCGATTCTTAAGAGGAGTACCTTAAACGATTTTTAGATCGATTCTCCATAAATCTGCTTCAAAATCTAAGAACATAAAATTTTTTCAATTTTTTGTCGAATTTTCTGGAGGGTCCCCTACAAAAATCCACAAAACAGCTTGGAGCCACAATGTGGCTCACTGCGACGTCTATATCTTTGGCAATATTCATCCGATTCTTAAGAGGAGTACCTTAAACGATTTGTAGACCGATTCTCCATAAATCGGCATCAAAATCTAAGAACATACAATTTTTTCGTTTTTTGTCAAATTTTCTGGAGGGTCCCCTTCAAAAATCCACAAAACAGCTTGGAGCCAAAATGTGGCTCACTGCGACGTCTATATCTTTGGCAATATTTATCCGATTCTTAAGAGGAGTACCTTAAACGATTTTTTGATCGATTCTCCATAAATCTGCTCCAAAATCTAAGAACATAAAATTTTTTCGATTTTTTGTCAAATTTTCTGGAGGGTCAAATTTTTTTCCCTTTAAAAATCCACAAAACAGCTTGGAGCCACAATGTGGCTCACTTCGCAGTCTATATCTTTGGCAATATTCATCCGATTCTTAAGAGGAGTACCTTAAACGATTTTTAGATCGATTCTCCATAAATCTGCATCAAAATCTAAGAACATAAAATTTTTTCAATTTTTTGTCGAATTTTCTAAAGGGTCCCCTACAAAAATCCACAAAACAGCTTGGAGCCACAATGTGGCTCACTGCGAAGTCTCTATTTGGCAATATTCATCCGATTCTTAAGAGGAGTACCTTAAACGATTTTTAGATCGATTCTCCATAAATCTGCATCAAAATCTAAGAACACACAATTTTTTAGATTTTTTGTCAAATTTCCTGGAGGGTCCCCTTCAAAAATCCACAAAACAGCTTGGAGCCACAATGTGGCTCACTGCGAAGTCTATATCTTTGGAAATATTTATCCGATTCTTGAATGGAGTACCTTAAACGATTTTTTGATCGATTCTCCATAAATCTGCTTCAAAATCTAAGAACGTACAATTTTTTCGATTTTTTGTCACATTTTCTGGTCAGCATTTCTTAAGATGAGTGACTTAAACGATTTTTTTGAACATTTCAGGGTTATACACCTCTTCACTTGGCCACACAATTTGGCAGAGATAACATCTTTGAATTGCTTTGGAACACATATAGTAAGTACTTCTTTATGCATTTTTAAAGTAACAAACCACATATTAAATATTATATGACCCAACATATAAAATTATATATAAATATATATATATTTATTTATAAATCACTGTAATTTTTTCATCAGAGGCCAATCGTGACATAATGGACTGGAGTGGCAACAAGCCCCTGGACTACAGTCGCCAGCGCTCCAGTGTTTCGGCATCCACGTGCAGCAGTGAGTATCTTAAACATTTCCAGAGTGTCGAGGTGAACAACAACTACCAAATGGAGCTCTTTGAGACACCGGCCGGAGGCGGTGGAGGGCTGTTCACCGGAGGGACGCTGGGCAGCGCACTAACCCGCGGCAAGAAACGCTCTCAGCTGCGCTACGCCACCGTCAGCGCTGGCTCGAGTGGTGGTGGGGCGGTTGTGCGAACCCAGTCTCTGATGGTGCAGCGGCGGCCCCCAAAACCGGCGGGTGGCACCACAGCGCTCCAGGGTCTATTTAGGCCGAAGTCGGAGGAAGCTGGCAGCGACCTGGTGCCCTGTGAACTGAAGGGGCAGCCGTTGCCCTTCCGCAATGCCTCCACTCGGCGCAAAGAGAGCTTTCTCCGCAAAACCCTACGATCCACTGCCGGTGCCAGTCGTCGTCCTTCATCTAAAGATGTTTTTACTAACCCCCAACCTCCCCAGCATGGCTAATTGGTTACTATCGCTTGTTATTTGATTGTATAACTCCCAAAAAAACAAAGTGTGCTAATATTTAATATAATTAAAATAGAAAATAAGTTTTTAATGGCTGGGCTTATCTATAATATTTGTAAACATTTTAATCTTGCAACCTATACATTATTATATCTGTAAAAAATCAAAATTCTTTAAAAAACAGAGCACTTTACTAAGTATGGGAGCATGGGAGTATTATATAATATATCTACGGCGGTTTCTATTAACCGGTTAACCTATTAATTATGTATATACCTAAAAGTTTATTGCATGTTTATTTGCCAAATAAAAAATATTGCACATAATACTTAAATGCAATGCAAATTGTTTATAGAAATAAGGGAATGACTTGATCCAGGCATGTTTCAGCAAACTTAACTAGTAACCATTTTTGAGACTTAAAACTCTTTTTAAAAATATGTTCAAATCATCAAGTGGAATGCGCTTTCGAAAATAATGCAGTTCGCCCTCAATTTCATATAAATTTTCCCATCAAACCAAAAACTAAATAGAGTAATACAACTTTAAAATGATCTAGTAATTAATTTAAAAATGGGAACCTCTATCTATTTTCAATTCTTGCTGCATGCAGAGATTCAAGCGATGCGATTCAACGGCGGACTCAACGGTACCTGGAGGCAGGTTGATAGAATTAACGATATTGAGTATTACCAAACCATTTGTGTTGATTAAAACCACGTTTGATTTTATCGCTAGCTTAACCGAAAACATCCATATATAGTTTCAATTTCTTTGTTCTGTTCTCCTTATCTGTAAATATATATATGCTTTATGTAATCTGGTAGCCGCAACTTTTTATTTCAATTTAATTTTCTGAAAATTTTGAGTTGCAAAATGCTGATTTGCATAGCTTTCGGTAAGTTTTATTTATGTTTTTTTAATAAAAATTTTCCTCATTGCCTGAATCATTCGTTTTATCCAAATTTGTTATGTTTTCGCACGATCATTTGATAATTTTCTTTTGATTTGAATATATTCTAATTCTTTGTTGTTTTTATTTTTTGGTTAATTTACAGAAATCAAGGCTCGCAAAAAGCATACCAGTAAGTTAAAATAATACTTATTTGAAGAAAATTATTTTTTTAGTCTATTACGATTTTAGTCGAAAAAGATTTGGGCTTCCTACGGATTGGTTCACTGAATGTCCGGGTAAAGAAGACAACCGAGGCTTTCAGCAATTTCTTGGGAGTGGGCAATGGCAGTGGGGTAGCCCCGATGGGTTACGGCAATGGCGGGGGAACGGGAGCAGCAAGTCGCCCTCACCATCGGTCTCACCGAGTCCCTCATCCGCGTCATCATTATCACGCTGGTACGACACGGAATCGCCATCCGAATCAGAGGGCAGCGATGAGCACACCCTACGGAACGAACGGGGTGGCCCCATCGAGGGCGAGCGTACCCAATAACCGTAACATCTACGACGGAGTGCACAAGTCGTGGGGATCGGCGGATAACATAACCCAACGATCCGACGAACTAATGCCGCCACCCAAATCTGTGGATTATATTAGCAAGCGGAATAAGTCCTCGAAGCGATCCTCATATGCCTCCAATGCCACCGATTCACCCCGTGACTCCATTTGCTCCTCGCACTCCAGCTCCAACCTGAACAGTGGATATAGCAGCATGCCCACTACTCCGAATCAAGTGCGTGCCCCCAAGGGGATTGGCCCATCGTTTGTCATGGATTCCGACTCGGACTCGGCCTGTGGTTTCGATTCCAGTTGGTCCGTGAACTTGCGCGGATCCTCGAGCAGCAATCCATCACAATCTTGATTCCTACATACATCCATACATCGCCTACCTTGAAGGCTAAAACTTAAAACATTGACCATATAATCGGAAAAGTATTTGTGTTTTATTCAACTAACTTATTTAATAATTAATATTTTTCAAAAGCATTTTGTATTTAAAATTTTAAAACTAATAATTTTTTTAAATTAAATTTTTTACGAAAGTTTAACATATTTTTATATTTTTTTATGTGACATGTTACAAAATAAAGTTTATTGGAAATAAAAGTATGAAACGGTTTTGTTAAAAACTTTACATATTTATAATAAATAGTATTAAAATTTGAATTTCCCGCTTAGTTTCGAAAAAAGGCGTTAGGAATTTCTCATAATTGCGTTGGGAACTCAACAAGTTCCATTCCATTCAAAATATAGCTCTTCCTCTTCTCCATTGATACGAACACACGTGCGGCAAAAATTGTTTGTTGATTGAAATTTTAAAGGAAATAAACTACATAAAATGGGCAAAAAGGACAAGAACAAGAAGAAGGGCAAGGGAGCCGAGAAGACTGCCATGAAGACGGATAAGAAGCTGGCCGCGAAACAAAAGAAAATGTTGGAGAAACTTGGAGAAGTAAGATTCTACATTATCTTTAAATAATATTATTTTAACTCATTTTTTTATATAGGCAAATATTGCTGACATTATTCATATGCTGGAGGCCAAGGAGGGAAAGGTTTCCGCCATAACTGAGAATGTTTGCCCGCCTCCAACACCTCGATCCAACTTCACCTTAGTTGCCCATCCGGAAAAGGAGGAACTTATCTTGTTTGGCGGAGAACTATACACCGGCTCCAAAACTACATTGTACAATGATCTGTATTTCTACAATATTAAGTCAGGCGAGTGGAGGGAACTAAAGTCGCCGTCCGGACCCACTCCAAGAAGTGGACACCAAATGGTGGCAGTAGCCAGCAATGGGGGAGAACTTTGGGTGAGATTTTGCTTCCTTCTTACAATATTATCTTATTAACGGAGGAATTCCACTTCAGCTCTTTGGAGGAGAGCATGCTAGTCCCTCCCAACTACAGTTCCATCATTACAAGGACCTATGGAAACTTTCCCTCAAATCCCGAAAGTGGGAAAAGATAACGGCACCAAATGGACCCAGCGCCCGCAGTGGTCATCGAATGACCGTCTCGAAGAAGCGTCTCTTCATCTTTGGCGGCTTCCTCGATAACAACCAGTCGTACAATTATTTCAACGATATCCACATCTTCTCCTTGGAGACCTATCAGTGGCTCAAGGTAGAGATTGGTGGCGTTGTTGTTCCACCTGCACGATCCGGATGCTGTATTGCTGCTGCTCCGGATGGAAAAATCTTTATCTGGGGAGGATACTCCCGAGCTTCCATGAAGAAGGAGGTGGACCGTGGTGTAACTCATACGGATATGTTTGTTTTGAGCCAAGATAGTAGGTTTTCAAAGTACCCTTACCAAATTCTCATTGCCATATGTCTTATACCTTTATCCAGAGAACTCCGGCGATGCGGATAATAAATATAAATGGGCTGCCGTAAAACCCGGAGGATACCGTCCTAAGCCTCGCAGCAGTGTAGGCTTCACCGTGGGAGCCAACGGAAAGGCATATTGCTTCGGAGGAGTTATGGATGTCAACGAGGATGATGAGAATGTCCAGGGCCAGTTTGGCGATGAGCTATTGGCCTTTGACTTGACGTCTCAAGCATGGCGTTTACAGGAAATCCCGACCAAAAACAGTCCGTCCGAGAAAAAGAATAATACTGAAGCCATCAATGACGTGGAAATGTCGGCAGAAGCCAAACCAGTAACAACCACGTCTGATGGAATTTTCACTGTGACCGTGGGTGGCCCAACCTCCAGTGCCAGTGCGCCTTACGTATCCAATATACCTAGTCTTTTCCCGAAATCCAAGCCCACAAACGTTCCCTCTGCCAGAATGAACCCAGGTCTCTGCATCTGCAAGGGAGTGCTCTATCTCTTTGGTGGAATCTTCGAAGAAGATGATAAGCAATTGACCTACAACGATTTTTACTCTCTGGACTTGCACAAGCTGGAATGGAAGGTGATAATTCCCAATAGCCTGAAGGCCCACGAGTGGGAGGATAGCGATACCAGCAGTTCCAACGAGGAGGCCAGCAGCTCAGACGAGGACGACTCCGAGGACTCGGATATGGACACTGATTGATCTGATTTTGAGTTATTTTAAATGACTTTATATTTTAAATTTGGTTAACATACATATATACAAAATGGAATTTTATCAAAACTTTGGCTTGTTCGAGGTCGCGTTAAAGCTTCAGGATCTCTGTAAGGATGCGCTGCGTATCATCGGGAGTGTACACCCTATGACTTATAGTCCTTGGATCGACGTAGATCTCGTAATCATTGCCGCCCTTCTCAGTTTTGTCGCCGAAAAAGTGGATTTCCTTGAACTTGTAATGGGCTTCAATGTGGCGAAGGCAGTAGGTTTTGTCCCAGCCATGGGGGAAAACATCGAAACTGATTTGACCTCCGATGGAGTACGTGAGGTCCACATCGGCAAACTCCTTCTTCAGGTCGGCAATCATTTTCTCACGCACTTTGTGTTCGATGTCGTAGGCGGCGAACATGTTTCGCTCCTCCCGGGAGCACTGTCGTCCAATTGGACACACGTTCATCATGCCGTTCCGGAACTCTATAAAGGTTCCTCTCTTAATAGGCAGTTCCAGTTCGGAGAGGTAACGCAGGACAAAGTTGATGAAACGCTGCAACGTCTTCTCGCCCAGGTGCGCGATGATATTCTGCTTTCCCACCTCCTTGCCGCCCTCGATCTGCACCAGGCCGTTTTCAGGAAAGATGAAATCGAACTCGTTAAGAATTTTCTGACCGTTCAGCTGTTCAAACATCTTTTCCAGATCGGAGCCTCCAACAATTCCAATGGTGGCTCTGGGTTTAACCTTCGAGTAAAAGAAATCCTCGAATTCTGGAGTCACAACGGACCTGGGCATCGTCAGAGTCCCGTCCACATCGAAGAGCAGGAGGATTTCGTCACGTTTGAGTGTTGCGGTGGCCATTTCGCATTTGATTGTTTTTTAACGTAATTCTTATCCAAAACACCTATGACCACGTATTGTTTTTGAGATAAAGAACCTTGTAAGCGGCAACGATATGGTGAGAAATACCCTAAAGCTTTCATTAGGCCGGCCGCGAACTAGTTCACAATTTTGAATTGCCGTCATAATTGTATAAAAATGAAAATAAATAAGTATCACTGGTACTTTTGCTTTTTTATGAAGCTAATAACAATCCTACATAAACTATAATAAACATTGTTTAATGACAGTCTATTTATATATATTTATGGGGCACTAAATATATGTACAAACATATGAATGTCTTGTAGTATTGGCATATAAGCAAAACATTATAGTTTCTAAGTAAATAATTAACAAATAATGATTTGGGATCCTTTACTACTTCACTTTGATGTGCTGCAGTTCATCTCTCTTGATTTTGCTGTATTCCTGCAGGGATTTGTATTTCTCGGTGTTCAGCATCGGGTCCACCACCACGGGGTATAGAGTCAGTCCCACGGCGCCCACAATGCAGGAAACGAAGCCCACGAATCTCCATCCACGTAGGACTGCCATTTAGCTGTAATATTTAATAGTTTAATTAAATTTTTCAATTGTTATTATAAAACACAAAACACCTGGTTTGACAGAAGACACTAAAATACCCCAGAAAAAGGTCTTACTTATGGGTTTATGGTATTTAAAGTTAGTACTGGCTAAGACGACACTCTTCTATTTGAATTTTGTGCATAAATATTTGAAAATTAAGTAAGAAAGATTATATGATTTTATTTATCAACTTTTATTATGTTTTTAGCTGAAATACTTAAAATAATTATACACTTGATCTTTTACACAGTAGCAAGAGCCCACTGTATCCATCTATCGGTATTTTTAGTAGGCAAATCTAGTATATTAGGATTTTTCTCCTACGGTTACACTGTTGATGTGTCTTAAGCTGGGCTTGGGTGTGGTGTATTGTTTGAGTAATTGTTTTATATTGGCCTGGCCCTATTTAAATAAGTTAATAGTTCGCTAAAAATGGCTAGGAACCTCGTTTTTGTGGTTCTAGTCGGCGCTTTATGTTTTACACTCGCTAACGGTAAGTTTCTGTCGAGTAGAACACTCCAAACAACGTAGGGCGTTGGCATGACTTAAACTATGGTTTCTTGGATTCCAGCACAACATCATTATAATGAACACAAAACTAGCCACATTATTTGGTGCACCAAGAGCTTGGAGGAACAGTACAAGTGCCAGAACCTGACGGTGGCCATCGGGCGCGACCGGGCACTCTTTGACGAAGCCTACCTAAATCTCACCTGCTTCAGGGCCTACAGCGCTGATGAGTGTATCCATCACATCGATCGCGAGAAGGCCCACATTACGTCGCTAGACGCTGGAGATGTTTTCACAGCAGGGCGATACAACTCCCTCATTCCCATCATGCAGGAAAAGTTGGAGGGCGGATTTTCGGAATACCAATCGGTGGCGGTTATTAAAAAAGGATCCCTGCAGGATGTCAGCAGTATGCACGGACTGAGAGGCAAAAGGGCATGTTTTCCATGGGTGGGAAGTCTAGCTGGATGGATTGTTCCAATTCATACGGTAAGATTGTTATAGTTCTTCGTTAAATGAAGGTTTTAATGAAAACCCATTAATTTTAATTTGGTTATAGCTTCAAAGAGAAGGTGGAATGGAAGTCGTGGACTGCAACAACCAAGTAAAAACAGCAGCCAACTATTTCAACAGTTCCTGTGCCGTGTACTCGCTATCAGACAAATACAATCCTATTGGCGATAATTCTGATAAGTAAGTGATCTCCTAATTCATTAAGTTCGATTTATTTTTTAACCTTTTACTATCTAGGCTCTGCTCTCTTTGTACTGGAAAAATTCCCGGTGGACGTTGTTCGTCTGCTGATCCTTATTTTGGTTACGAAGGTGCCTTTAGATGTCTTTTGGAAAAGGGAGATGTGGCTTTTTTGCGTCATTCCACGGTTACTGAAATGCTGCAGAGCACCGAGTTCAGTAAGTACATATAAACTAGGTTTCCAAGCAGTCTTTTGTTATTTAAAAATATTTCTTTTTAGAAAACATAGCGCCTGATACCTTCGAGCTGTTCTGTCGAGATGGTCGTCGTGCCCCCTTAAACGATTACCGTCAATGCAATTGGGGACAAGTGCCAGCAGATGCCATCGTCACATCGTCAGCACGCAGCTTCAGTGACAGGAAACAATACCAACAGTTCCTAAAACGCATCGCCGAATTGTACTCCGATGGCGTCCGTGAAGATCACAGCAGGCCGGGCGCACAAGGCCTTCAAGGATTCAACAACTACGACAGGAATAACTTTAATGATCAACGACAGAGTGGCGCTTACGATCAATACAATAATAATCCCTACGACAACAACAATCCCTACAGAAGTCAAAGCCAGTACGATCAGTATCGCAACGAACGTCTGGACAGCAGTTTCTCTGCAGACCACAATCCGCAGGACGGCACCAACACCTCTATACTTTATGAACAGTTCCGTATTTTCGATTCGAAGCGATATGGCAAGCCCAATTTGCTGTTTCAGGACTCTAGCAGAGCTCTTACAGTCATTCCCGAAGATGACCAGTCCTTTACGAAGTATTTAGGAAATGGTATCAACTTCATTTATGGCATTCGCGAGTGTCCAGTGCCGGCGATGACTCTTTGTGTGACCTCCGAACCCGAGCTCGAGAAATGTATCAAGATGAGGGTAAGTTAAGGAAGACGGATTAAGAGCATTGCTTCAATAATTTTTTTGTAGATTGCCCTGAAAGCCCATCTTCTGAAACCCGAACTTATTTGCAAGAAAATGCACTCTCACATCAACTGCATGCAGTTCATCCAAACGGGAAAAGCAGATATTGCTGTTTTTGACGCCGGAGATGTCTACACTGGTGGACTCAACTACGATCTGATCCCCTTCATGTCGGAGGTGTACAATCTGGGTATGCCAGAGTACTATGTTGTGGCGGTGGCCAAGGAGGAGGATCCTGACACGGAGCTCACCTACCTCAAGGGCAAGAACACCTGTCACACAGGCATCAATACCGCCGCCGGCTGGACCTATCCGATGGCGTTGTTCATTTCAAACGGCTGGATTCGACCCTACGGATGCGACTCTGTGAGAGCTGCTGCCGAGTACTTTACCAAGTCGTGTGTGCCTGGTGCGATCAGCAGTGAATACAACACGGGAGTGCCCTACGACAGCATGTGTGATCTGTGCCATGGAACCAGCTACAGGTACTGTAGACGCGATGCTTCGGAGGATTACTACGGACACACCGGTGCATTCAGGTGCCTTGTGGAAGGTGGTGGACATGTGGCATTCATGAAGCACACCACCGTGATGGAAAGCACTGGCGGCAAGCGCAAGGAATGGTGGGCGAGGAACACCCTCAACGATGACTTTGAACTGCTGTGTACGGACGGAACCCGAGCCGAGATTCAGGAATACAAGCGATGCAATCTGGGCAAGGTCAAGGCCAATGCTGTCGTGACCCGTGGAGGAGTTAGTTTCAACGAGACCCAAATGAATGCCTACATTAACTTGCTGACTTATGCCCAGCAGCTGTATGGCCGCAAGGATGTGGATGCGTTCAGTTTTAGCATGTTCTCCTCCCCGATCGGGCACTACGATCTGATCTTCCAGGATGCCACGCGCCAGCTGCAGGTCATTCCGCCCAATAAGCGAAGCTACGATGCCTATTTGGGCAGCGACTTTATGCGAGCCCGTCGCATCACAGATTGCTACGCCGGAGCCTCCCAGGTGGCACTGTCCGTGGGTCTGCTCCTGGCAGGCTTTTTAGTTGCAATGCTCTAAAACCATAGACTCACTAACATTTTAAAAGTTCATGTACAAGAATCTCCAGCACAAAGGGAAACATATCGAACGTTTTACATTCCAAATATTTTTAAGCCTAAATGAGATCCGTCCGAGAAGCCTTCACAGCCAGACAATTTATTATAATATTTTTACGAAGGCTATTTATCCATATTTATATAGTGCCTGTGCCTTAATAATTTTTTGTGTACATACCAAGTCCGTCCAAAAAAAATGTACCTACAAAGTTTAAGAAGAATCTTTTACAAACTTTTTATAAGTTTACAAATAAAATAATTTTATAAACGATTTAAGGAAAATTTATTTTTTAATCGCAGCGTCGAAACAATTTATAATATTGTGTTTAGTACGATTTCCTAAAAGTAAATTTGAAAAATTACACGTTAAATAAGTGTTGGAAAATAATTAATAGAAAAAGGGCTCTTTTGTCAACCATAGATGGCGCTAGACCATAATAAAAGTGTTGAAAACTACTTATATCGGAAGTGTTGGAAAACGGCCATCCTTAAACCTAACCTCCCAGATTTCATATTTTAATTTAAGGTGAATTTGCCAAGTGGTCACAAAAGTTGAAAAATCAAGATGCCACCAAAGAAGCACGACGAACCGGAGCGCAAGCCCCTCATCGGACGCATTGGCACAAATCTCCGCATCGGAATCGTCGGCGTACCCAACGTGGGAAAGTCGACCTTTTTCAACGTACTAACCCAGAGCGCCGCTCCCGCAGAGAATTTCCCCTTCTGCACCATCAAGCCCAATGAGAGCCGTGTGCCGGTGCCCGATGAGCGCTTCGACTTCCTGGTGGACTTCCACAAGCCCGCTAGTGTGGTGCCCGCCTACCTGAATGTGGTGGACATTGCCGGTCTGGTGAAGGGTGCTGCCGAGGGCCAGGGTCTGGGCAACGATTTCCTCTCGCACATCAGCGCTTGTGACGCTATCTTTCACTTGTGCCGCGCCTTCGAGGACCCAGATGTGACCCACGTGGAGGGCGAGGTGGACCCGGTGCGCGATCTGGAAATTATCTGCGAGGAGCTGCGCCTCAAGGACGAGGAGAAACTGCACCAGGCCCTGGACAAGCTGGAGAAGGTTGTGGCCCGCGGCGGCGACAAGAAGCTGAAGCCAGAGTACGACTCCATGTTGAAGATTAAGGAGATCTTGGTGGACCAGAAGCGCCAGCTGCGCTTTGAGGACTGGAATGCCCACGACATCGAGGCATTGAACAAGTATCTTTTCCTGACTTCTAAGCCAGTCATCTACCTGGTGAATCTCTCCGACAAAGACTTCATCCGCAAGAAGAACAAGTGGCTGCCCAAGATCAAGGAGTGGATCGACAAGAACGACCCTGGAGCCCTGCTCATCCCCTTCTCCGGCGCCTTCGAGCAGGAGCTGAGCGAGAAGGATGATCTGGAGCGCAAGGCGTACGAGACTGAGACCAAGTGCAAGAGCCAGCTGGACAAGATCATCGTAACTGGCTACAAGGGCCTACAGCTGGAGTACTTCTTCACCGCTGGACCGGATGAAGTTAAGGCCTGGACCGTGCAAAAGGGAACAAAGGCCCCGCAGGCTGCTGGACGCATCCACACGGACTTCGAGAAGGGCTTCATCATGGCTGAGGTCATGCACTTCGAGGACTTCAAGGCGGAGGGCAGCGAGGCGAACGCCAAGGCGGCAGGAAAATACCGCCAGCAGGGCCGCAACTACACTGTCGAGGATGGCGACATTATATTCTTTAAGTTCAACGCCGGCGCCGGTCTGAAGGACGCCAAGAAGAAATGATACCGTCTGGCAGCCCTCATCGCTATGTCAACTATTCTGTACATTAATTTGATCCTATACTCCCAGCTGTTTTGCTTTGCCTGAGAGATTCGATGAAATCTCTCCGCTTCGCAAGGACGTTCACCCCGATAATACAGGCCTGAAATGCATTTTGAATGTCCTTTTGTACGTTATTTAAACACGCTTATGACACCTTGATCCTTTGTTTTTTTGGAGGAATTACTGTTCGTTGAATATGCCACGTGGAGAGGTTTCTATTATTTATTGATTAATTCAGTTTATAAATAGACATGTTTTATACAAAAATAAATGGAATTGAGCTGAAGAATCAAGAATTTTCAGCTAAAGTCTAAACATTTAGTCATTTGTCCTATACATAAAATGAGAGCTAAAAAAAAAATAAATTAAAGATAAATAAATTTTTATTAGGATTTTATTTCATTTATAAATATTTTTATTTAGAGCTACACATATTTAAAATATTAGGCGGGATGTGATATGATAGTGATGGAAGTCATAGCCACGATATATCGATAACAGTGGCGAGAAAGATGCTAAGCCGCCATCTTTTATTGAAAATATATTTCATCGCTAGACACCAGGGCGTCTCTGACGGCGAATCTTTGCACTAAAATTAAATTAAAAACAAAACACAGTTTGGTAAGTAAAGAAATGTTATAGAGTGCGTGCGTTGGTGCTACCGGGAAGTTAGTAGGCACTTTGGAAATAGTTAGTCAATCAATGTGAGCTAAAAAAAAGAGTTAAAAATCACAAGACGCCTCCACTTCAAGAAATTTTAATCCGCTGAGTGTCGCCACCGCACACTGATGTTTAAAAGTGTATTTCCAAAACTAATTGGCTCCCCAAAACATTGAATAGATATGCCCAGAAAGGCGCGCAAAGTTGCGGAGCCCGAAGATCTGCAGTCCTTCCTCAACAGCATCCCCCAGGAGATCGAGGGCGGCAGCAATGACAAGGTAATGGACAAAATAATGGAAGTCATCGATGTGGAGGACGCTGTCCAGAATTTGATCGAAGAAGTCGAGGAAGAGGCCGTTGAAGAGGTAGAGGAAGAAGAAGAGGAGGAGTTTGATGAGGACAAGTACTTCATAGACGATGAGGGCAACTGCTACATCAAGACGACGCCAAAGATTCAAAAAGCGGTCCAGAAGAAACTCAAGGAAGCAGCGGACAAGAAGGCCAAGCTAAAACGGGAGGCAAAATCCCCGAACAAGAGTGAGCATCATATGTAAATCAGTCTTGAATAAATTATACTAATCAACCCCTTTCCAGCAATCAATCTCCGTCCTGCCACCTCACCGCCAAAAGGAAATGCCAGCAAGGCAGCTCCCATCAGTGTTCGACCCGCCCGGTCGGCAACGAAAGCAGCTGTGGCACCTATTAAGCAAGAAGCTGTGGAATCGAGCCGCGTAACCAGAGGCAGGGCTAAGCTGCAACCTAAAACAGAAAAGGAGGAAACCACCGACCTGCAGAGGGAGCTTGAGGAGCTGGTCGATGACCCCGATATCAACAGCGTGGTTAGTCATTTGGAGGACTATGCTGTGGACACTTCTGTCCTTGGTGGCATAGAGCAGCTCAACCAGGACGAGGTGTACGAGTTCGAGGATCAAGGTCCGGTACCAGAGGCGGAAGACGACTCCTCGAAACAGGACGCTGTACTTACGGAGAAGCAAGTGATCCAAAAGACGGCTAAAGCGCAAGCGAAAGGCGATAGCGGTACCACGTACACTTGCTCCAAGTGTCCCTACACCGCCAATAAGCGGTTCCTGATCACCCGCCACTGCCGCAGTCACGATGAGGAGCCCTCCTTCAAGTGCTCCATCTGCGACCGGGCCTTTCGCACCAAGGCCAGCCTGGTAAACCACATGAACACGCATACCGGCACCAAGCCTCACAAATGCAAGTCCTGCGACAGCGCATTCGTGACCAGTGGCGAACTCATCCGGCACACTCGCTACAAGCACACCAAGGAGAAGCCGCACAAGTGCTCCGAGTGCAACTACGCCAGCGTAGAGCTGACCAAGCTGCGTCGTCACATCACCTGCCATACGGGCGAGCGTCCCTACCAGTGCCCCGACTGCACCTACGCCTCCCAGGACATGTTCAAGCTAAAGCGTCACATGGTGGTCCATACGGGCGAACGGAAGTACCAGTGCGACATCTGCAAGGCGCGGTTCACGCAGTCCAACTCCCTAAAGTCTCACAAACTCATTCATACGGTGGTGGACAAGCCCTCATTCCAGTGCACCTTCTGCCCCTCCACGTGCGGCCGCAAGGCAGACCTTCGCATCCACATCAAGCACATGCACACCGCCACCAAGCCGCTCAAGTGTCGGCGCTGTGGCCAGGAGCTGCCCGATCGCTATCAGTACAAGCTGCACGTGAAGTCGCACGAGGGCGAGAAGTGTTACCGCTGCGAGCTCTGTCCATACGCCTCGGTGACCAAGCGGCACCTGGACTCACACATGCTCGTCCATCTGGACGAGAAGCCCTTCACTTGCGATCTGTGTCCGCAGACATTCCGCCAGCGGCAGCTGCTGCGCCGTCACGTGAACCTCATGCACAATGACAACTACGAGCCGCCGAAGCCTCGCGAGAAAGTCCACCAGTGTCCGAGTTGCCCCCGGACCTTCACCCACAAAGGGAATCTCATCCGGCACATGGAGGTGCACGACGACTCGGTGAATGCGCGCGAGCAGAAGAAGCGCCTGAAACAGGGCAGAGATCTGCGCATCCTTCCGGATGGCAAACTAATTGATCTCAAGGATGACAACGCACTGGCTGACGACAGGGAGGAAGAGTGCTACGACCTGGCGGACATCGAGCCAGATGAGGAGGAGCTCCCCCCAGAGCCAGAGCCGGTAACAAGGAAGACCGTTACAAGGTCCCAGCCGGTGATAATCAACAAGCATGCCAGGAAATCGGGTACTTACAGCAAGAAACCCGTGATTATAAACAAGCAACTGCGCTCGCAGAGCAAGACCAACACGTTCCACATCAAGGAGGAGCAGGATACCTCGGACTTTACGGTGCAACTGCAGGACGACGACGGCCAGGTGATGGTGGTGGAGTTGATAAATGGCGCCGAGGAGGTGGTGGTGAAGCGAGAGCCAGGTGGAAACACAAACATCAGTGCCTCCAACTGCTTCGGCTTTGAGGTTAGTCCAGCAGTCCCTTGAGATCTTGTGGTTTCTCTAACTTTTCTTATACTTTCAGGAGGATGGCGAGTTCGAGGAGTACATAGATCAGGATAACGAGGTGGAGGCCGAGTCGCAGGAGTTCCTGCAGCTGATGGACATGATAGAGCAGGATGTGTAGTCCCTTGTTGAACCATTATGTTTAGTTATTCCTAAGCTTAAAGTTAAAACTCTTAAATTTAATCGAAATTAAGTAATGTAATAGCATTAGCGTGCGGTGTTCAGTTGACAACTTTGCATAAATATTTATTTAAATACATACGTATATATGTATACATATATTTCAATGTTACTTCAATAATGGTATATGGGCAAAATGTTAGCTTTCGGGCGCTTGTCGGTCGATCGCTCCGGTCCGGTCCGGTCCTACCATAAAATGTTTGCATAGTTTACAATTTGTTTCATTATCGCTTCAGCAATCGGGTTAATCCTCCTTTAGTTTAGGTTTTTAGTTTCAAGTGTATAACTACAATAAAAATATATATATATTTATATATAATATATATGTATATATACTTTAGGTGGTGCAATGTGCAAAAATCTGCTGTGCAGTGCATCATTATCATTATTTGCAATATATACTATATATACTTGTAGGTTTTTTTTTTTGTTGCATAGTTGTTGCATAAAACGTTAACAATTTGTTGTTAATAGTATAAATGTAATTAATGTATACGAATTTAATGGTTCTGTATAACAATTAAAATGGAACAACGTCGATAAAGGAAGTTTAGTTGAAGAACGACACTTAGAAATCGAAAATTGCTTAAAGGATCTTCATCGAGTTACGAATACGAAACACACTTAGAAGTACGAGAGCCTAAAAAATTGCATTTATCCTATAACTAAGTTAATGCTCTGCGAGATTAGCTGGACAGGGGAGAGGATGCTGCTCAAATCCGGGCATCAAACTAAACTAAAAGTCGAACTAACTAAAACATAAACAAATTCTTGGAAAGCTGTGCTATGGCTCTGGCCAGCTCGCTGCTATAAGCTTGGCTTATACTCTTTACTTTTGGCTTAACAACTTTGTGTAAGGCTGCTCTTGGCTTTGTCTTCCAATTCCATATCCATATCCATATATATTTCCTATTCCATCCTTTCTCGAGGGATATGGTTTGAAATAAAACGTGGCGCAAAGGGAAACACAAATATGAATCAAAATATTTTAAGTTTCTGGAGAAATCGCAGCAGGGTGGCTGTGAGGCAGCTGGCCTGGTGCTGGGGCTGACTCCCCGATCCCGGGTTGGCGGCAAAAGAGGCTCTGGCTCTGCCGTTGGCAATCACAATTCACAATTGCTCCCTCTTTTGCCTCTTTGGCTGCTAATTGCAATTGAGCGTGTTCTGGTTGGGGCTGGTCCGGGACACGTTGTTGTGATTGATCTGGTTCGACTGCGTGATGCTGGCGCTGTCGCTGGTCTTCCACGAGAGTAGTTTGTTTAGCAGCCGGTCCATGTACGGATTGCTGCCCAGTCTGGCCACCTAAACGCCATGAAAATGGTCAACCATTAGTCGTTGAAGTGAGGGGGAAACTTCAGGAACTCACCTCCGCTCGGGCCTCCGCATCGAGAGTCTCCAGAACCTTGCGTGTATACTGAAAGCTACCCAGCTTTTCCAGCAGGCTGATGCAGTACTTCTTGACCTCAATGTCGTGCGTGCGCTGGCGTAATATGTCTGTGGATACAAGTCGATGAGTGGCGGGCCTAAGGAGAGCTAAGGTCCAGACCAGAGGAGGACTTACGTAAAACCTGTTTATCCTGCTTTTGGCTGCGCACCGCATGGATTACCGGAAAGCCGAACTTGCCCTCCGTCAAGTCCTCGGCGAAGCTCTTGTTCTCCGTGTACTGCCCACGAAACGGGTCATTAGTTCTAGTTTATTTTTTAAAATCTTGCTAGTCTTGTTGTTACCTCCTTTAGGCTGAGATTACAGTAGTCGTCGCGTATCTGAAAGTACAGGCCCAGAATGGCAGTCAGCTTGGAGTAGTCCTCCTTGTTGGTGCTGAACAACTGCATCAACCGGATGGCCAACATGAACAGGCCCCCGGTCTTCCGCACCGTCATCAGCTTGTAATCGGATTCCGAGGGGCAGGTGAAGCTGTCGCGCCAGTAGATTTCCATACCCTGACCCCGATGCAGTTCCAGCAACTGTTCCGTATACACTTTGGTGGCCTGTCAATAAAAATACTTTCAAGTTGAGTGGTCACACCAGCAGGTTAGTCACCCCACCTCTGGATGTCCCAGCTGTTGCACCTTCTCCAGGGCCAGGAAGAGGGCATAGTTGGCTGCGTTTATCGTGCTGGCCACTCCGTAAATGGAATGCGCCACCGGCACACCTCTGCGAAGGATCGAATTGTCTTCAATATCATCAATGCTGCAAGTTAGTACCAAGAACACATATAGAAGAGAGCTGTGAGTGACCAAGGCAGTTGCAAGTCTGTATAGTCTTAGATCTAAGGCTAAGGTTTGGGGTTAGTAGTTCTACTGGAAGGGTTATCAGTTGGGGTGCATTTCTAGCTGTTTATAAAATATGGTAATACCTCGTTGGGCACCCTGCCTGAACATACTAGACATAATAGATGTATATGCATAAATTCAAGCCCCGCTTTAAGGCCGCCATCATCGCTTCAATAACTACAATGCCCGGCGGGTAAAACGAGCTGGCCACCAGCCCCAACATTTGCGTAATTAAAAAATGTTTGCGCTCCGCCAAAGCTGGCAAAGCCATTGGTATGGGATTGGATGGTAGCCTGGGCGTTGAAGCGACAACGCACAAAGAGATGGGCTGGAGAAGGAGGCTGGTTGGATGGCTGGGTGGATGCCTGGGTGGCTGGCTACTGGCGAGGAAAAACAGTGGGCGGACTGCGTGGCAAGAGTTGTGACAATGCTTGTCGGACTGACTAACTGACAATGGGCATAAGTACATGAATGACGGAGGAACTGCTGGTTTGGTTGTAAAAAAAAGTGTCAAGTTTTTGCCGATATGAAAATGCATTAAAAAGAAAATAGGACGCCAAGAACACAGGCCACTTGGGGGGCTGACAACGAGAGGGAGTGGGAGGCCTGGGCGTGGGAATGCCGTCTCGGAACAATAGTGGGGATTTTAAGCAGAATTAAGGCCATTTGTGAGTGTTTGGCTTTGAAGAGGAGGCGACAGGTGGCCGCCTCGGGCTGCCAAGAGGGCGGGATTAGCCAGAATGCCTTCTGATTGGAGCCTTGAAGAAGTCTCTCGGCTTTAACTGCTCGCCAGTGATACGAGGCTGAGACTCCAGAAATCCCCCAGGCACATACTTTAATTGAAAAGCGGCAGACACTTCAATTGGCTCGGGTTCAAAGTTTAATTGTGGCATCTCTCGATCTCCCAGGCCCTCCTTCTTCTCTAAAGAAAAATCTAAATAATTTATGCAATTTCGTTTCGGGCAATGAAATGCAAAGAAATTCAATTGTAAACAAAAAAAAAATAAAGCTGCGGGCTCATGATGAAATTTCGGAATTGATTTGGGGGCCTAACAAATGGGCGAAAGAACATTATTCAATATGGCCAAATCAGGTCGCCAGCTGTGGGCCGCCAGAGGTGTGACTCATTCCATTTAGATAAGTATGTATGCTCCTATATGTATATGGAAATGAACTGCCGATGATAAGAACTTCTAGCTAAAACTCTTATGGAGAACTCATCATCATCGCCACTTCCCTAAAAAGTTCACACTCGATTAGGCATCTAGCTGGAATCCATCTAAACAAAAGCAAATAAACAGAATGTATACAAATAGCCGAGCTGTGAAAGGAAGCAAAGCATGCGGGGTGGCATCTGGGGGTTCAGGAGGTGGTATCTCTGGTCTCTGGTGGAGCAAACAATAGGTAAACAAAGCCACACAATGCAGAACCGAAAAACGCAGGCAAACACAAAGGTCAATACTTGAAATTAAAACACGCCACTCATGATTAGTTCGCGTGCAATATCGACAGGTTATATGGAATTGCTATAAATTCCTTAAGCTTATAGTATTTCAAGCATCTTTTGTTTAGAGAACTACTATATACAAATAACACGTAATTAATGGTTTAATTTTGAAAATTGCTTATTTCTATAATTTGGGTTATAGCTTATGACTAATAGGCCAATTATAGGGCAAAATATAATTGATTTATCCTGTTTAGGGAGTTCCCATTAAAGCTTATAACAACCTAAAGCCAAGACTAAAAATATACATTATAATCCATATATTTAATATACTCACAGCAAGCTGGAATTGTGCAGCATCTGTACAATGTCCCCGATCTGCGCCAGCTTCTCGGCCGGTATGAGCAACCAGTGATTGAAGGCCAAGGCCAGCTCCGAGCGGAATTGCTTGCCAGGAATCTGTTGTATGTATGTGAAGGGCTGCAGCAGAATCTGGATACCCCAACCGTGAGTGATGGGTGGAGTGGGTGGAGCAGTGAAGCAGTGAAGCAGTGGTGCGTGGGCCACATGTAAATAAAACCCAAAAAGTGGGCGCAGGAAGTTAATAATGAAGAAGGAGGAAGACAGAGAGAGAGAGAGACAAAGCAGGAGGAGAAGAAGAGCCTGGTTAGCGCGACAACTTTCAAATGGCAAAGTTCAGGGGTCCGGAAGGATTAAGCCGTGGGATAAGTACCTCATCCTGCTCCTTTTGCGTTGATTTATCTTTGGTTTTTTGTAGTATGCTGTTTAGTTCTTCCATTGTTGTTTTTGTTGTTGTTATTGTTGTTGTGAATAGCCTTGCAAGCTAGTGTGTTGTTGTAGAAAGGGGGCGGTTGCCGTTGGGGCGGGGTTGAGGTAGCGTGCTTTTTGTTTACCGCCACACGCGTGACTAGAATTGCTTTGTGGAGCCTCTCGACGTGTTTTCCGATCAACTAAAGGCAATAACACCTAGACCGTGAGACCGCGCACCAAAACACCGCACTGTGGGTCCAAAAACAGAATGTTATTGAAGTTCTTCTGCGGCATGCATTTGTAGTTGTTGGGCTTTCTAGAGATGGTCGGCCGTTAGTGCTATCGATGTTTATAGCTGATACTTATTTATCGCTATCGATTAATCGACCTTTTGTCATCCCTAATTCAGGCCAGGTTGCCTGCGTGGAAAATAAACTTTCTAGCTAGTTTTTCTGTAAATTGTAAACAATAACCAATAAAACCGACTACGAAATCTTTGCGGATATGGCTGCTGCAGTACCGACTCGAGCCAACTGGCACCCAAACATGAAACACAGTGATATGGAGCGGTAGACATGCAAAAACAACAACAGAAAAACAAAGTTCGCCCCTCATGGCTTTTATTATTGTTTTTCCCGCAGATGGATCTGTATTTATCCCGCCTACATCAACAGCAAAAAGACGCGCCAGGAGGGACGCCGGCTGCCCAAGGAGAACTGCGTAGAGAACCCCACCTACATCGAGATCCGGGATGTGCTGTCTGTGACCAACCTGCAGTTCCTCGTGGAGAACATGAAGTACTGTCGCGAGAAGAGCAGTGAGATCCAATTCCGTGGTCGTGTGCGCGTCCAGCTCAGGAATGCCGATGGCACTCTCTTCAACAACGACTTCCCTTCGCGTGAATCCATTATGATCCATATTGCCAGCAAGATCCCCCAGCTGAAGACGCGCCAAAATAAATCTGGCGACTCGTTCCACCAGCAATCCCAACCGCAGTCGAGTGGCTCTGGAAACACTGGCGGCGGTGGTGGTGGCAAGAAGGGTAAGGGCAAGCGCCGCTAATCACTGCCGTCTTGTGGGTCGATGTTGATGTTTCGTTAGTTGGTTTCTTTTGTAATAAACTCTGTAGACAAAGCTATTTCGTGGGGTGATCTTTGGAAAATAATTTACACAAGATGTTCTCACTCTTTGTGTCACTTTCTGTTAAAATTATAGTTTGTTTTTTTTTTCAATATTTGTTATACTTTTCCACTCTTTGGTCAAGTTCAAGTGCGAGAATTCGGCCTTGGCACGCCAAAGTGTGCCAAAAAAATAATTTAAATCAGCTCATAGAACTTTAGAAAGAGCCGCACCCAATTGGGAAATGTCTCAAGATCACACAAGCTCAGCAGAAATTCTGGCGAATCAAAATCGAAAAGAAACTGTCAGTCACGAACATCTACAATTTCACCTGATCAGCGTTATAAAACCGGGTGAACACCATCACTGCTCAACCACAATCCAGTCGCAGTTGGAGCACCCACCACCAAGATGACCGAAAATAGCAGATTTTACCTTTGGACAGTGGCACTAATATTGGTATGGCTGGCCATCGTTCAGCTACAGGTGGCAAGTGCTGAGTCCAATAACTCCACGGTCATAACTATCGGATCGCCCAACGCTGTGGATACTACTTCGGCTCCCCGGAAGGTTAATCCTCTTACGGAAGCTAAGCACGAACGGAATTGCAAGGCACTCTGCGAGCACTGCGGCTGCTTGGGATTCTATTGCGGCGAGGAGTGTCTCTGTGAGTGCAACGATGACAACTCAGACACAGAGTGCATCCGTACCATGCAGGTTAACGCCAAGTTGATGAACAGCCCCTTCGACATCCTCATCCAGGGGCCAAGTAGCAATCGCTTCGTACGCAATGCCCAGCAGTTCGAGCAGAAGCACGAAATGGTGGCCAGGAGTGCCTCCTCATCCAGTCAGCTACCCCGAAACCGTCGTTCCAACATCACAATATACAAGCCGTCCAAAAAAGGATCAAGCCAGTCGACTCCCAATGCTCTGGAGGCCGTGTCCAAGGCGTCGGAGGTGGATCGTGCCAGAAACAAACGGTCGGTGGAGCACTTGGAATGGTTCAATGACTTTGCCGGCTCTTTGGTGCGTCCATCCCCCTTGGGAACTCGCGCTCAGAGGCAATCCAAGCCGGCTGGCTTCAAACGCCAGACTGTAGTTGAGGAACCGACTCCCCTCATACGTAGGGAGCCTTGGTTTCTAGAGCAGAGCATTCCTAGGATGATTCGTCCAGCTCCGCTGAACAAGAAACAAAGTTCTCCCAAAAACAGGAAGAGTTCCTCCCCACGCAGGATAAGCAAGAGTCAGATTTCCAAGAAACAGACGAGGGAGGAACCGGAACGTGAGATTCGACCCCTCCGCGATGCCTTGCAGGTTGTGGAGCGTATTCCCAGAGTTCTCCAGGACACAGTGAACCATCTTTCCGCCGACACTCCTGCTGGTGATATCTTCAGCCTGAACATAATGAACGAGGCTTTGCCAAGAGAGACCGACGATGAAGAGCGAGCCCCGAGGAGGTCAAAAACCAGCTCCCGGGATTTCCGTCGAAACGAGATAGTTCCGGAAGCAGTCACCCTGGCTGCACCAGCGGCTCTAGCTCCTGCCCCACTTGGTTTGGCTCCGCTTCCCGCTGTCCAACCTGGAGGTTTGTTTCCCTGGCTGCGACAACAGCGTCTGAGGCGGCTACAACAGGCCCGAAGAAACATTTAAATTTAATCCTTTCCGATTTATATTTTATCCATTTTATTAATACGTTTTTGTTGTATATTTTTAAGAAATATTTGGAATATTAAACAATAAATATAAATTACTTAATTTCTGTAAAAAATACAAAAATCGAAAACTGTTAAATGTTTTTGAAACAGGACTGATAGTGTAGCATACTTTCAGGCGCTATCTTTTAATCTGTATCTTTTTCTCTGTAGCTCTTTCGGTTTTTTCAAGTCTCCCCCGACTTGTTGCCAACAATTCCGATTCGGAATTCATTATAGGTCTTAGCTGCTTCGCGGCAACAAGTAGTTGCTCCCGAAGTTTCGTTTTAAAACGGAAAAAATTGTTGAAAAGTGCAACGACCGTGAAGTGCCCCACAAAGTGCGTACAAAAAACACAAAGGAATATCTGTGCATGGGGTCCTTTGTTTTGTTAACTGCCAGAGCGTTTCAGCTGCCGATTATTATTACAAAAAAATAAAACTAAATAAAGAGAGAGTAAGAGAGAGCCGATAACAACAAACGATGGCGACTGTCCCCATTCCCCACTGAAAACAAAAACAAACCATACATGCATCTTATTATTTACCCACAAGTGTTCAAGTGTCTGTTTCAACAAAAACAAATAAGTAAATTAACGTACGAGGGCCAAATGGTCACTTGGATATATAAATTTAATAGAAAATCGAAAAAAAATACAACAATGTCGCCTTCAAGGCAGAGATCAACGGTCGCTTTTTTTGTATCTAGTATCTTGTATCTCTAGTATTCCAGAATACCCAGATACTTCCCAGTGTGTTTGTGTGTGTGTGTGTTTGGAGAACCTGAAATCTCACTCTTATGGAACGACTTTGTTGTTGTGTGCATCAATAATTGGAAAAATATTGAATCTGGAATTGATTTATGAAGGCGCGAGTGTGATGGCAACAAGTGATGTATTCGAAATATTCGTCATTGATTGATAAAGCTAATCGCACTAAAACACTCTGAAACAGTTGTTGAATTTGCTTGCAACTAAGCGTGGTTAATAGTACTTACTATATAGAAGAAAAAAAACTTAATCAATGTGCCAGTTTTTCGATAAACAAGCCGATGTAATAAAATGGCAGTTCGCCAATGGGTTTCCTTATCATGCCGTAAAAACAAAAACAAAAGCAAACTCACAGTGATAGTGACTTTGGCTAAATTACGAATACACCCACATACCATACTCTATATAAGTATTCAGTTGCCGGCCCATAATCTCCTCAACGGATTGCCTTTATCTTCCATAATTACTTTGATAACTTCAGCCGACTGTTTCCCATTTTATTTTTTTTTTTGTATTTCGGGAGATTACTTCGAAACGGCTATAAGATAATCCACTCGACTTTCCAGATGTCCAGTAGTACGAAGGGCCCTAAATCGCAAGCTTCTATATAGATCGGTTATATGGCGTTATAAAGTTAATAAACCTTAAATTTTTTGTACTTCCCCCAGCAACCCAATCCAAAATTTGTATTCAAACCCTAAAAACAATTTAATTACTTATTTTTCCAAACAAAATACAACAAACAAGACAATCACTTAAACACGATTATTATTTAATTCTAGAATGACTCTGTGGCGGTAAAATTAAAATAAAAATCCAAAGATTGTATTACGAAAAGTCTAATTAACCACCGATCGATTAGCGGGGACCGCCATGGCTTGTTTTAAACGCCTGGAAACCAAAAGACTGCCCGAGGATGTGGACGATGGCCTCGAGACCCTGGAGGAGTACAAGCAGCGCTGGCGCTCTGTCCGCATCATTTACTTCACAATGTTCCTGATGGCTCTAGGATTCAGCATCATTCTCACCGGCATTTGGCCATTTCTTAAGAAGGTTTATATCTTATGGATATAGCTGGTTCGACCGATATATTATATAAGTATCCTTTCAGTTAGATCCCGATGCCGGCAAGGAGTTCATGGGTCTGATTGTGGCCGCCAATCCCTTGGGTCAGATGATCTTCAGCCCGATCTTTGGCTGGTGGGGCAACAAGCTGGGCACCATCCGATTTCCACTGCTCGTCTCGCTGGCGCTCTTCACATTCGCCAGTGGTCTGTATTCCTCACTGGAGCTGCGTCCCGACAATGTCAAGTACTGGATGCTGGTCTCCAGATTCCTCATTGGAGTCAGCTCCGCGAATATAGCTCTGTGTCGGTCATATCTATCCGCCGCCACGCGGATCAGCGAGCGTACACATGCCGTTTCCATGGTTTCCCTGGCTCAGGTGCTGGGCTTCATCATTGGGCCGACTCTCCAGGCGGCAGTGACTCCTTTGGGAGATGTGGGCCACATTTGGCTAGGGGGTCTTATGCACTTTAATATGTACACTGCATCCGGATGGATCAATGTGGTGATGAGTATTAGCAACTTTATGCTATTCCTCCCATTTGTGTTTCAGGTGAGATTCCTACTCCTACTCCTACAAGGGCTAACCTCTAGCTAATCTCCTCCTAACTTCCTTAGGAGCACAAAATAGCTGCCAGGGAGGTGATGGTCATGCAGGGAGGCACTTCGGAGCGCGAAACCTGGAAGGGCATCAAACCCAACTATCTCTCCGCCTGGACTTTGATCGTCGCCTTCTTCGTTCTGGTCTTCAACTTTGTGTTGCTGGAAACGTAAGTAGAATCTCTTATGGTTTGGCCTTCTCTATAATTATGGTATTACCTTCCAGTCTGGGCACTTCCCTGACCATGGACATGTTTGCCTGGTCCAACGACGAGGCACTCTGGTACATGGGCATCATGATGACAGTGGCCGCCATCGTCTCCCTCATCACCTTCGTTCTAATCGAACCCATGTGCAAGCTGTTCGCCGAACGCTATGTCCTCATCTGGGGCGGCTTCTCGCTCATGTTCCTCGGAAGAGTGCTCTTCGTACCATGGGGTCCTGATCCTCCCAAGCTGGCACAGCCCTTCAACGCCAGTCTCAATCTGAGTTCCGATGATCCCATCTACTTGGGTTGCCCGCCAACGCAGGAGTGGTGCGGCGAGCTGCCGGCCCTCACGCTGACGCAGTTCATCATTGGCTTCGCCCTAACATCGGTTGGATATCCCATTGGAGTGACCCTGATCCAGACCATCTTTTCCAAGGTGCTGGGTCCGCGACCGCAGGGCGTCTGGATGGGCTGGATGACGGGCTCTGGTTGCCTGTCGCGTGTTCTGGGTCCCGTTTTTGTAGGCTCCATCTACACCAGGCTGGGAACCAACTGGACCTTCGGGGTGACCTCGTTCATGATGCTTGTATCGATGCTGGTGCTGCAGTGCAGCAAGTAAGTCTATACATCAAATAATCTTTATGTAATCTTAGTAACCATGATACTTTCCAGTCGTCTCCTGATTCCGCCCACTTTCGAGAGGACACCGCCAGTGGAACTGCTAGAACTAAGAAAATACAATGGCGAAAGAACGGATGACCTCGCCCCGGAGGAGGAAAGCTCCCCCTGACCAACCCAATCGCAGCTTCTAGCAGCCAGACCTTGTGCAATACCACCTCCAAAAGTATCTTGTTCTCAGTTGCAATCCAATCTTAAAATCAATAGAACTATCTGTATATTTTTGCATAACGACCGCTTATGCTCTTTATTGGTAAACATTATTGATGTCCTGCCGATGGGACGAATCGCAGAGTGGGGATGTGTCGTCGTTGTCTAGTCTCTCGGCAGAGTTATGCATTTTTTAGGAGGATGCTACTACAAGTGGTTCTTGATTACTTTATAGTTTAAATTTACGAATTATAGTGTATGTAGGGGGAGACTTAGTAGTATAGGGGGGGCGGGCGTGGTTCACCAGGGCGGCAACCAGAGTTGTGAAAGGGCTGGCAGCAGCATGTGCTGATAGTGGTGATAGTAGGCCGCTGGCGGCCAGCAGAAGAGCCAACAACAGTCCGCGGCGGCACCCCTCGGTGTGTTTGGCAAATGGTAGAGCGTGTGGAACGGGGACATAGTCATGGGATATGCGACCGCCACTCAGCTGCTGCCGTGATAGTAAAACTCATCTCAGTAGGGCGCATATCGGCGACCCGGAGGTGAGGGACCACGCATGCCGCGCGACGAGATCATCCGTTCATCGAACGAGTCCCGGCTAAAGTCCTCATAGCCGTGCGGTGTCGGGGAGCTGCCGGAAAATAATTATGACTTTAACTTGACAAAAAAAAAATAGGAAGATTCCAAGAGACTTACCCATAACGACTCATTCCGTTGCTGCTACGCGGCGGAGGCGGCGATCGGCGACTAAACATCGTATCATATCCACGTGTGACGCTGCACGAACGCAGGCTGCCGCTCAAGGGGGGCGGCAAGGGCATTGGCTCGCGACGCGAAATGGGCGGTGGCGGCGCAAAATCGCGCATACGCGACGTCTGATAGCGGCGCTCATACAGATCCCGGGAATCCTCGAAGCGACGGTCATAGTAATCGTAATCCTGTGGAAATCAAAAATAATTTCAATTAGTTCATGGATCAGTGGCATACGTTGGCGGGATATGTGCCAGGAGGTGGCACTGGTTAATTCTCTGGAGTAACTGGTTGCTGCATTTACCCTAAAGCCATCCATGATGCGGTCACGCAGGAAAGGCGGAGGAGGTGGTGGCGGCGGATACGGATCGCGACCGTACATTCGGTCCCTGTAGCCGCCAGCGCTGAGCGGCGACGGGGGCTCGCGTCCGCCTCCGGCGCTGCCATAGAGGCGCGGACACTCTTTCGACCAATGACCGGAACGGCCGCAACGATAACACTGCTCCGGATCGCCCATGCCCGGCTTGGGCCGTACACGACTCGTTGACACTTGCACTTTGAGCGGCTGGCCGTCAACGACGCGACCATTCAGCTCCTTGATGGCATCCTGCACATCGCCGACACAGTCCAGATGCACGAACCCATAATTGCGCACAATGTCGCATTCGACGACGGTGCCGTATTTTTGGAAAAGTTCCCGCACCTCCGGCGCCCGCGTTTTATCCGTTAGATTTCCCACGAAGATTTTCGTCGTCGGGGTATTCGGGGCCCGTCGACTTTTGGCCGCCTCCACCTTGATGGCATTGTCATTCAACACGTAACCGTTCAGATTCTGGATGGCGTCGCGACCCTGCTGCTCCGTTTCCATGTGCACGAAACCATAGTTCTTCACCACGTCGCACTCAACGACCGTGCCGTACTTCTCGAATAGTGCCCGCAGCTCGGTGGCCTGCGTCTTCTCGTCGAGGTTACCGATGAAAAGCTTGAACGTGCCGGCTCCGGGCATGGCGGCAACGGTTTCAGCTGCGTGGTCGTCCACGGTTCTGTTTGTTACTTGCAAAGTGGGGACTCCCGGAATATGTTATCAACGCGGCGGCGGCGGCGAGGCGGCAGCGGCGTATCTATAAGTCTCGATTAATCTCGGGATATATGTAATTACAATATATCGCGTCAGCGGCAGCGGCACCCACGACGGCGGACACACACACGCGAGACCTCAAAAGTGGAATAAAAGAAAACAGGGAATAGGGCAAAAATTTACGAACCAATCTAATAACGAGCCAATGTACAGGAGCTGCAGCAACAACAACAACAACAATAGTCAGAAGCGCGTAACAAGAATATTTGGAGCCTTCGATCGGTATTTCGATTTTTCAGTTGGCGTTTCTTTTTCTTTTTTTTTCTTTCTTTTTCTTCTACCACACATACACAAAAGAAGATGGCGGCGTTGCGACTCGTTTTCACACTTGTTCCACGGTTGCTGTTTCTTCGGAAAGCGGCGAAAAAAAGAGGGTGGTGAACTTACCTGGTTAAAAGGAACTCTTCGAATTCTTCAAAAGTTACAAATATTCAACTGATGCTTCTATTTTTAAAATTTTTACTGTATTTAGAAGTGCCAAGTAAATTTTCACCAATGCCTTTTTCTGACAGTGTGCCCGTAGCCTACCTAATTATATATACCAGTGATGCTAACTTTTCTAGGGTTGCCAGGCGATAGTAAATATTCAAAACGTCCTAAAAAATACTTAGTTTTAAATTCTTAATTTTAAAAATTTAAAGAAAAATTAATGTCCGTCAAATTAGCGTCGACACCAAAAGCAGGAACACAGCCACGAACTTTTTGTTTTTCAATTATTTCAGTATTTAGCCACTAAATTTAATCAAATAAACACTAGAATTGTTAATAATTGAATAAACTATTGTTTTTTCTTACTTCAAACGGGTTCCACACTCTTTAAGTAGCTATAAAATGGGTTTGAAAAATTACCCCTTTACTGTTTTGAGCATTATCTCAGAAACAAGAGGAACTTTTTTGAGGACTGGTTCCGGTTCATTAGTTGGCGCTCTTCTTATCAGTCAAATTATGTATTATACTGTAATTCGATTTTCTCAAAATCTGTGGGAGCAATTTGTATGATTTTTGCTTCATACATACTTGAAAAGGTCCTACATCGTCTCCACTACCGTGCATATGGGCGCATTCTCCTAGAGCTTCACAATTTTAAAAACAATTTTTTGGGGTAATTTTTGTATGGGCTGTTAGCCGGGTTGGTCCATTTTTATTCGATTTTCTCCAAAACTTGGGGAGCTATTTTAATGAAATTTTCAGAGTATATTCTCAAAATATTAAAAAAAAATATATATGAGCTATATTTTCTTGTTTCTTCTTGTTTCTGAGATAATTCTCAAAACAGTATAGCAATTTTTCAAACCCATTTTTTAGCTACTTAAAGGGTGTGCAACTCGTGCAAATAAAGAAAAAACAATAGTTTATTCAATTCTTAACAATTCTAGTGTTTATTTGATTAAACTCAGTGGCTAAATTCTGAAATAATTGAAAAACAAAAGATCGTTGCTGTGTTCAAATTCCACCGTTCCGCTTCGACGATAATTCGACAGACATTTAACGTATTGAAAAAATAAGTGTTGGAAACCGGTAAAGCTTAACCAACACTGGTCTGGAACTCAATTGTTATGACTGACAGCACCGATTTTGCTCATTGCGTTTGAATATTGTTTTAACGAATTTAATCATGGTTGTTGCTAGAAAAAAAAAGCCAGCAGTAAAAAAGAAGTCCCTAGGAATATCAAAAAAATCAGAAAAAAATGCAGCCCCCTCCGCCCCGCTGGTGGCGGCAAAACAAAGGATCGTGGTTACCCCTTGGCGCGACACGTGCGTATATTCAATTTTTTTAACAAAATGTCTCAAACATTTGTTTTAATAGGCAGGAATTCAATGCGACTTACGACTGGTTGTTTGCCAAAGGCTCTACGCCTGCAAATCGTCGCCAGGCTTTGAGTCAAATGCGCATATGGAGCTTGCGTAGAGGGAACCTCTGTCCAGCTGCGGTTTTGGCCACTTCAGTGCTGGTCCAGGCGCAACTGGAGGACAAGATGGGCAACCCTAGTATTCAGACCACCTACGCCAATGCCTTCACGAGGTTCTACAACTTTATGTCATCCATCATCCAGGGGCACAACATGTCTAGCATGTACGAGACGGCTAAAGAATTGGGTCTTCAATCCTTCATAGTGGATTTGCGCCACTTGTGCGCCCACGGGCAGGAGCTTCCACCGGTCTCTGTCTTGAGAAACACCTCCAAGCACTGTCTAGAATGGTTACGTACATATTATTGGGTGCGGCACAAGGAATATATGGTCAACTTAGTGTCGGGTAAACTGCAACGAAATGACAAGCTAAAATTCGAAAAAGAGATTACCCGCCTCCTGGAAATCTATGACTTATCCTTGGAGTGCCAGCTCCAAGGAGCACAAAAACTTAAGGACATAAGCAAACTGAAGTCTAGCGCCGAATTCAACAAAATTCGGGTCTACGCGTCCAACAAAAAAGTTAAGACCGCTAAGGAAATTCTCAACGCGGTTTTAGGTGAACTGAATGTGTTGATCAAAAAGAATTCTCACGCCATGAAGGATCTGTTGGACATCTATCTGAGTTGTCTGCTAAAAATGAAATACTTCCTTACGGTTGGCTTGAATATAAAGGACAACGAAGACGAAATCGTGGCTGCTACTCAAGAGCTCTTTAGACTTCTAGCCATGCAGGGTTTCATCGAAAAATTCTTTACAGCCTTGGTACAGATGAACGAAAACGCCAATGAGGCAGATGAAAAGCGTCTAGGAGCGGGCTATTGGGCCCTAAAAATGATTGAAACGTTTACAATGCTTTCGCGAATGAAACGGATGTACAAAGAGGAGCTTGATTTGGTTTGTAAATATGATAATTCATTAATATCAAGTACTCAGTGTGATATTTTACAGAATCCCAATTTGAAACCTGTGAACTTCTCCTCCCTCAACACAAACGTGCTGCCAAATACCCTTAAACGTCTGCTGGTTCACTCAGGAGTCGATTCTTCCGTAACTCTTGTTTTTGGAGACAATCCCAAAAAGGCGAGAAACTGGATCTTTGATTTTGATTTCATCCGGCAGCGTATTAGACCTTTCAGCAAGTTTTCCGGGGCTATTGTAAAAGGGTAAGTACTAGTTTTTATATTGAGGATTACTCTTTATATATTAATGATTTCTGCAGTCTGCTTTCCCTTACGGATCCCCCACTTGATGAGCAACAAATTGAAGACTTGACGCGGCTCTGTAATATTCGATTGCAGGAACAGGATTCGGTGAAGCCCAAGAAAGTGAAAAAATTACCGAATCCGAACTACAGCCTCAATGACCTGCAAAATCTTGTGGCTTCTAGTAATAATGAAGGAAATAATGGTATCATTAGCACTGAAGGCTCAGACTATGGAATTTGGAAATTAGATAATGGTAAGATTTTAAAAATTTAATGGTCGAGACATAAATTAATTCAATTTTTTTTAATTTTATAGAACACGACTGGTCTACATGCGCTTTGGGTGTTGTACCTTAATCTAATTAAATGTTATACAAATTTACGAAATATTTAATTTTTTGTATGTTTGGGTGGCTATTGTTTGGGGACATTTATAAATATCTTGTAAAATAAAATCTTGCATTAGAGTTTCGAGCAGTTTTAAAATATAACTTGACGGGTTTCTCTTCTTCTTGCCTGTTAGTCATTCACTGCGAATGGCTAGAAACAGCTGATTGCTCCGCGTCACTGACGTCAACAATTACTCCGGCTTTCGGTTTATTTCATTGTAAATAGGATTTTTGCGAATTAAAATGTTTACCCTGTGGACTCTGATCGAAGCCTCACTTCTGTGCTTGAATGCAGTATGTATTTTGCACGAGGAACGCTTCCTGGCCAAATGTAAGTATTAATTGTATTTGTCCGATCTCTGCCACGATTATATTTCTTCTGCATGTTTTTCTAGTTGGCTGGGGAAGACAAGCTGGACAGCAAGATTTTGGGGCTCCCACGGCCAAGGATCAGGTACTGAATCTCATCCGCTCCATACGCACAGTGGCCAAAAGTAAGTACACATTTATTTATATTGTAGAAGGAATCATATACTAAAAGTATTTAATATTGCAGTTCCCCTGATATTCCTTAACATAATTGCTATTGTATTTAAGCTATTACTTGGTTAATATATAACCTAGTGAAATAAATGTACCGTAAAGCCTTTTTAACCAACTAGTCTTAAAGTTTACTGGGCAACATGGCCACCGGACTTCCTTTGAAGCACGCATTTCACCCTGTTCTCCAAGGCTATGCTATAGGCATCCAGTTTGTAGGCCGCTGCCTCTAGTTTGTCCACCGTGTCTGATATCTCGTCGATCTGCTGCATTAGTGGAGCCAACTGCTGGAACTTGAGGCTCAACTCGCTGGTGGAGACGTTCAGATTCTCCGCAATCTGCCGCATGTCCTTGTACTTGGCTATTGTGGCCTTGTTCATTTCCTCCAGCAACTTGTAATCCTCTAGAGGAGCGTTCAGTTCATGGGTAATGTAGTCTTCGGTTTTCTGAAACATTTTTGTGGCCAGCCGACTAAGGTTGGGATCGTGTCGAGTCAATGCCTCGAAACTGGAAGCACTTGACAACGTGGGTCCATGTTGAGGGGAATCCAAAAGAACGTTTTGATCCTGTCCTATGGCAGAAGCAACACTTGTTGATGGTTTTTCCGTATCCATTGTAGAGGGAACCGTGTTTTCCGAATTTTCACAAAAACAAAGTATCAACCAGCTGTTGTCGTTGCACTATGAGTGTTTTGCCATTCACATTGAATCGTAAGATTAGATGGGGCCGTAAGAGTGTTTACCAACACTGATATATTAACAAAAAAAAAATACGAATCAAAGATACCCTTTATTCTAGTACCAATAGATAATTCTTTAACTGCAGGTGCTTAAATATAATGAAAAACAAATTGAATCAAAACTTCTATTTCTTTCAAAAAGGAAACTATATCTATATGCTATCCTGCGTGTTATACTAATTAGCTTTATTCGTAAATTAAAAAAAAATTATTATAAGTTAACCACACATATGTACATAAGTACTTTTCTGATTTGTTTGCAATTTCATGGATATACCTCCAAAAATCCATCTGTAATGGGAAACTTACGAAAAGTTTATTGTTTTTCCGTGGCATTTCTATAAAAGCTAGCACATATTGCACTGATAAGGTAGTGCTATGTCCCAATCCCAACGGAAATCATGACGGAGAAGAACAACACCGAGCGGTACCTAAAACACCTGTTCGATGGAGGGCCCTGGAATGTCTACGAACCAAACATTCTCAACCTGGGAGTGGGTGCTCCAGGAACAGATCTTCTGGAGTCCAACTGCGACAATTTTAGGAAAGCTACGGATCACTGTCTGGTGCGATTTTGATAAGCTTACGCAATACACTTCTTTGATTCGACCTTGATGTATCTCTTTCTTTTCTTCTTTTTGCAGGAACGTGAAAAGCGTGAAAATCAATCACTGATTTTCCAATATGGACCTACCAGTGGAGCTTACGAGGTGCGCTTTGAGATTGCCACATATTTCAGTGAAATGTATGAAAACCCCGTCAACAGGTGAGTCTAGATTCTCTTTGAAGAGAATCTTTATCTTGTTACCTTGAAGGTCCATTTCAGCATAAGATAGTTTGATTAGATATACTTAATATAATGTTAGAATTAATATATTTTAAACCCTTTCTAGTGAAGATTTGATTATTACCACTGGAGCCACCCAAGGCCTGCATTTGATTCTCTCCACCTTGATCGACTTCCAGGGATTCATATTCGTGGATGAGTTCACCTACATGATTGCCCTGGACAGCATGAAGCACTTTACCAGCCTTAACATTATTCCTGTCAAATTAAACGACGATGGTGTGGATCTGAAGGACCTGGAGGAGAAAGTCTCTAAGAGACGTTTTAAGTCAGAGAAAAAAGAGTTCTGGGGAATATATTACACCATTCCAACGTATCATAATCCAACGGGTATAATCTTCTCCCCAGGTACGGCTTACCTTCTAGTGGAGGTCTTTTTCTTATGTGATTTATTTTGTCTTTAAGAGATTTGCCGTGGAATTGTGAAACTGGCGCGCAAGTATGATTTCCTGGTGGTCTGTGACGATGTCTACACCATTCTACATTACGACGAGAAACCCACGCTATCGCGTCTCCTGGCATACGATGATCGTTCCGATCCTGATTTTGTCGGCAGCGTCATCTCCAATGGCAGCTTTTCCAAAATTCTGGGACCCGGAGTCCGAGTGGGTTGGCTGGAGATACCTCCACGAGTTAAACCCATCCTAGATAGAAGTGGCTTCGCCAACAGCGGTGGGTGCTTCAATAATTACACCGCCGGAATCGTGCGAAGTCTCTTTGAGCTGAAGTTGGCCCAAGAACAGATTGATCGGTTTTATGAAGCCTACAAGGAGAGGATGCTGGCCACCACGGAGATCCTGCGCGAAGAACTGCCTCAGGGTTGCAAGCTGGTCAGTCCCACTGGCGGTTACTTTATTTGGGTCCGAATACCGGACCACCTGGATGCCAGAAAGTTTCTGGAATACAGTATGCAGGAGGAAAAGATCTTTTTTATAGCCGGGCCGCGCTTTTCGTTGGATGGGGAGTCTGGAAAACAGTTCTTCCGATTGTCGATAGCCTTTTATCCCAAAGGGAAGCTGGTGGATGGTGCCAGGAGGCTGTGCCGCGCCCTTAGGAATTACATCGAAAAGAATCCTGCTGGTGGTAGTTAGTATGGCAAAATATGTTTATTGTCGTGAATCACTGCTATCGTAATTTAAATAAGGCTTATAAAGATGTGACTTGGCTATAAACTACTTATCAAGATGTTATACACTAGATAAAGATATACATTTATGGTAAACACACAATTGTTGTACGGATTCTTGGGCACGATGCTTAAAAATATCACAAATCTGATAAATTCTATACAAATACACAACATGTTTCAGATTAGAACTTTATACAGCTAGCATGTGCATCTGTATCTCTCTATCTTGGATTGAATCTGAATCTGTATCTGTGTGTCTCTCTCCGACTTGTCATTTGTGCTGCGATGCGAATGCTACAGATTTCGATATCCCTCGGATTGCTCGTAATACTTTCGCTTGGAATTGGAATGCCCGCTGGCGTTACGTATTCACAAAACTACTCGGAGAAGGTCAACACAATCTCCTTGAGGGAGGTGTAGGTGCCGATTACCAGGCCCAAGATTCCCACAATAATGAGAACAAAGTTGCCTTAAAAAAATCATGAATTAGAAACTGGTTTGAAGGATATTTTCTAAGTAGTGCTTACTCAATATCAGCCAAGCCTTGCTGAGTCCTTTGGTCTGATACCAGTGCGTGCATATCTGAATGAGGGCTGGGAACGCCAGTCCCAAGGCGGATAGGCACAGAGCTCCAAACAGGGAGATAAACAGCTCCAGGTTGGGGATGGCTACAGCCAGAAGGACTGTTGAACAAAAGAATTCTTTATTCTGAATATTTTGTGCCATTTTTAAGACAAACTTACAAGTGATCAGGACGAGGATCGTTCGCACAGCATACTCCCAGAAGAGGACATTGCGTTGAGCACCCAGACGCTTGGCCACATAATCGTTCCAGGTGATATCAATGGCCACATAGCAGGCCAGGCCATGGGTTATGTAGATGGCGAAAGCCAGCATGCCCTTGACACACATGGACAGGCTATAAGGAAATGAAGGATTTAAGAGCGAACAGGCTTAGGTAATCCCACACTTACATTTCATGCTCTGGCATATTGAGAGTAATGGATCCCAGAACGGAGGCTCCATAGTTGAGGTAGCCAAAGAGACCCATGCCCACGTACAGGAACACAATAAGAACCATGGAGACGTTGAGAACTCCGCAGCTGCCGCCGAACTTCTGCGGCGTCTTCATCTCGTTTTCCAAAGGCAGGATAACTCCGATGGCTTCCAGGGCGAAGAGCACGGTGCCAAAGAAGAGCGGGAAGTTCTCCGGCTTGCCAAAGGCATCCTTGCCCTCCGTGGACAGCGGCTCTCGGAAGATATAGTAGCAGATAATGCCAAAGGACACCATGGTGATGGCATTGGCCAGCGTGGAGAAGGGAGCCAGGTATTTGAGGTTGCGCACCCAGTTGATCAGGATCAGTGGTAGCAGGATGATGATCATGCAGAGCCTCACATCGATATTGGTGTCGCCTACGGCATCGACAATGGCCTTGATGTTGGAGGCCACGAAGACCACGTAGACACAGCAGGTGCCCAGTTGGTAGATCAGCAGGAAGGTATTAACGACGGTTCCAATGTACGGGGCCAGGACACGGAAACACGTGGGACCTTCTCCTAGAGCTGATTCCGCCACGGCAGGATAATTCATGCTGGGCATCTACAAAAGGGATTCATTAGGATTCAAGGATAATCGCTCTGGCTCTGTTAAGCTCACCTTCTTCCTGCGACATAGTTCAAACTCTGCCTTGACCAGCTGATGGATGCAATATGTGCAAATAAATCCTATGACTATGGTGCCAATGGATCCTGTGATATAGCCAGAGTTACGGAAGGCATTTGGCATGGCCAAGATGCCAGTGCCCAGCGATCCTTTCAGCAAATGGAAGAGGGTTTCCGAATTTCTAGTTTAAATCTAATTAATATTATTTCTTTTTAGTTTATTAGCTAATCTTACGTAGTAGGATGCTCTACATTGCGGTGGTGGTAGGGATTGTAGTCGGGATCCTTGGCCACTATGGCCTTGTTTTTCTGGCCCTTCTCGGCCAGCTCCAGCTTGTCAGCCCGATCCCCGACAAAAGCAGGATTGCTGTGTCCATTTTTACTCATGACTGCAACGAGAGATGTTTTGTTAAATTAATAAGAGCAGCTATGCTTTATAGATGACAAAGATTAAGTGCAACGAGTTTATTCACTTTTGTATCTACTACCGCCTTCTGTATCTGTATCTAAGTATCTCGGTATCTGTGGCGCAACAAGTGCGTGTGCACATCACGTTGCGCGTCGCTCTGAAAATAGTCTGTGCCGCTGACATATTTCTAAATTGAAAGCAGACCTCGGCAATGTCAAGTTCAGTGGCGATTCGACTGCATCCACTTGTACTCTCTCCTCCCTTAAACCCCTTAATGCTCCCCGAAAAATCGGATCCACTATCTGGTAGTACCTAGTACCCAGTACCTGGCTGTTCGTGCGGCGTATGAGACGTGCCAAAATAGAACAAAACAAATCACAAAAGCCAATTTTAGTGTCAGCGGACTTTGTTGTCCGCCCTAAACGCTCTTCTTTTTTTAGTTTATATTTTTATTTGCCGCCATAGCTCATCTCAGGCCATGCTTAATTAGAAAATATGTATCTGTGTGACAGGGGCCAATTTGAGATTTTACGGCTTCCAGTTAAGATAATGTCAACTGCTCGAGAGATATGGAAATTTTGGCAAATTGAGGTAAACTTTTCCGGTTCTCAGCGTGTCTATTGCACTTGTGATTATCCAATTGCCTCTTGATCTGATCAGATCTGATATTATATGTTATGATATGGCCTGTAATTAAGCCGAAAACCACTTGGACCTGATCTCTGCATAATTTCAAGTACATCGGGTTTATAAAGTCTTAACTATGCGGAAGTCATTACCCGATCAGCAGAGCATAGCTCCTAGATGCCTTTTGGAAAACGCAATACAGGGCGTATGAGTAATGGGAAAATCTATGTAGAGGTAATTGCAACTTTTTCATAATTCATATTCAATTATTTCATGGGAAATTCTCGCACTATTCCCCCATTGATATGCCACTGAGGAAAGAGCTTTCTAATAGACCAATTCCGGCTTAAGCCCATTGAATCAGCACCAAAAATAGCCAAAGGCCAGACTCTACGCAAAGCAGAATTCGCAGAAATCATTTCCATAATTTATTTCAACTATGTATGCTCAAAAACAAAACAAACCCCCCAAAGTTTGTTTTACCAATAAGTTGCAGGCGGTTTTAACTGGATTGCCGGATTCGCCAATAAATTAAATATGTCTCTGCCGATTTGCAAATTGGCAATTTGCTTTGACTTGGTCGTGCATGATTTAGATGGGCCTTTTCCTTTCTATTTGCATCAGCTGTCTATAAATACCCCCATAAATACTGAATATTTTTCGAAATTATTTCTTTTGAGCCAGAGAATTCCCCATGAGTCGCATCGCTCGCATTCTCTTCACGTGAACGAGATCTGAATATCAATTGAAGGCGGCACGCGACTCTCTCGGCTTTTTGTTTTGGTTTCTTCGCTTATTTTTTTTTTATGTTTATATTTACCCGCTGGTATGTTTGTAGCTGGTTTTTTTTTTACTTTTTTTTATTGACGTCTAGACTCGAGAGTTAGCCAAGTTCAATGTGCCAGGCCGGGCCAGGTTAGAGCAGGTGGATTGGCCTTAGTCTTTAACCAAGTGGTGGAATACAAATTTCAATTGTCGGCCACGAATTTCTGGTTGGCACTTCTAAGTCGTCCAAGTCGCTGGCTTTTAAAAGCCGTCGGCCTTGCTCCGCTTATTGGATTCGGTTTTCGAATCTGAAGTTTTCCACTTGATGATTAGTGGCTCTGGCAGTGAATTTCGGAGTGGAAAAGTTCTTGGCACCCGAAGAATTCCAAACAGGTTGGCAATTTGCTCCAGTCGAGTGCCAACTGCATTTGCCAGTTTTTAATCGAATTTTCCACACCAAGCTAGTTATTTAATGAAATATTTGTAAAAAAAAAATATAGAGGGTAGCAAAAGGCTAAAATTGTTTATTTTATTTTACAAATAATTATTTTTCACATCTTGTTGGCAAATGTCAGAGAAGACTGATCTTTATTTGGCAATACCTAGCTTGTTCAACACGGCGTATGAGTGATGTTGTCTGGCATTTATTTTTTTTTTTTATCAAACTTTTATGCTGTTTATCACTGTAGCTTCTTGCTAAATAAATAAAAACATGATGAATTTATAGCCCTGCATTATACTCGATTATTCCTATATCTAAGACAAATAAAAGGTTATTTGCTAAGAACTCGGATAGGTTTCCAAAGGGCTTGTTGAGTTAAGACTTTAGGGTCTTGACCTATTTCAGGGGAGGCCTTTACTCTTGAGAAAGGTAGCTATTGCTTGAAATGTGCATTTTATAATAATACCAATTGAAATGTCTGCTATTTCTGGCCACTAGATCAATAATTTGCGTCAGAGGTTGGTTGCGCGTCGTTGGCTAAATTTAACTGCAATTAATTGCAGGCGTTTGACTAGGGGCTTGGGGGGGCATAGGCCATAGGGGCCACAAAGGTTAGCTCACTTGAAAGCGATCTGTGCACTCAAGCCCGACTTACTAATTTGCAAAAAGTCGCGCGTCGCCACTTCCGCTGCGGGGTAATTAGCCCAAAAATAAAAAAAAAAATAAAAATTGCCAGAAATTGACTCACTTACCGACTCTGGGGTTTGAATATTTTTTTTTGTTGGCGGCTTGCGAAACACTTGCTTGGGTAACTGCTGGCTCTGGATAATTGCAACTTCTTTTGCATAAAGAAACAAGAAACACTCTGACAAAAACACGGGCCAAGTAATTAACCGACAGCCGAAATCAAAACATAAATCTAAATCAACGTAGATCCACAAAACGCGCACTTCTATATATGCTATGCTAGTATGTGCTATATAGTCTACTATACTATAACTAAGTGATGTTTAGTTGGTCGGATCTGCGATGTGATCGTGTTGGCCGCGCGTTAACG